CTGCCCTGAATGCCCTGCAAAACAATGCCATGAGATTTCTTCTCTTAGTTTTCGCGCAAATTTTTACTATAATTATTTGCAATTAAAGATACGCGGTACGCCAGCTGATTTATTATGAAAAGGCTATTGCATGAACAACAATATATATTTTCTAGCATTTTAAATGGTTTTTGAGAATTTCAACGCGACATTTTCAAGTTCAGTTTCGTGCCCTTTTTTCCAGGTGAACCATTTGAACACGACCAGGCCATTGTTAGCAACTTTTCATTCACTATAAAAACTATTGTTGGATTTTATTTCCTTCTAATAAGTGTATCGATAGTTAATATGAACCGAAAAGTATTTTTATAAACTTAACTATGATTATAAGTGAGAGGCGTTCATCTGAGGTTTGACTTTTGCTAATGTAATTTTAAATTCAGCAGCGAATTGTCAGTTTTGCGAAAGAAAAGGCTAAGAGCTGCAACTACCTCAATTTATTTGTTTTAATGCTTCAATAGCAAAAGTTGATTCATACTGTAGCCACTACGAATTTAAAAGATTTCATGATTGATTTTGAAAGAGCATACAATAAAAACTTGTACAGTATGCATGTAGGTACAACACAAAAAGCAGAAATAAGTGCATGGTTCATGCACTAAAATAAAAAAGAAAACATGTAAGTGCCGAAAAACGAGATTTCAAGGCATTTTTAATTTTAATTTATAAAAATTGTTTGCTTTATTTTAAGTGAACCCTCGAGAAAAAGCATCAACGTTTCCGTTGTGTCTGACATATTTCTCTCACAAATTTTATGAAAACCTAACGCACTAAAATCCCGCACGTTTTCTCCATGAAATACATATTTCTAGCGAAAAGCATAAATTCCCTTTTGTTTCCGTACAAAGATATAGCTATACCGGAAGGCTGACCTTTAAGTGCTACTCCTTTGCCCGAGCTTGTCGTTAGAGAGGATCTATTTAAGAAAGCGAGCTTTCGGAAAAATCGGCTTGGTAAAATTGTCAGTAATTGATAAGAACCCTCTACTAAGAGCTTAACTTTCAGTTTTGATCTTTAGATCCAGGCACAGCAATAATACTGGTAACATTTTACCTTTGGTTAATCGGCCCTATAGGACGAGACAGTGACTGGCATCGAATCAAGGATAACACTTTACACGACCGAAACAGGACGGTGTAATAAATGATAACATTTTTGCGCATGCCCAAAATGGTGGAAACAGGTGTGTTTAACTCACATAATAGACCCTTTGCAGTTGGTCATTCATGCTGTACAAATCCTCCATGTTGGAGAGCAAAAGATGCACTGTGACAAGACAAACAAAGGAAATTGCTATTTTAAATGATGTCAACTCTTTGTTTGTCTTTCTCCAATGGGCCTCTTGCTCTCAAGCATGGCGATTTGTAACTCAGGAACTACAATTGTAGCCGCACAAAGGGCCTATTGCAGGGATTGCTTGGTAGTAAGATCTTTAATAGCCAGTGCCCTTAAGGGGTCAGTCTGATCAAAAGGAGACAAAAGCATTGTTTTTCGTTTACTTCCGCTCTTTTTTATATATATAGACAAGATTTCATTCAGCCAAATGACTTCAGCCAATTAGGTTAGCGCCTTTGCAACAATCAACTGTTTGCAAGAGCTCCTGTTTTTAAAGAATTTTTTTGGATGATTTTTCATTTTTTTTTAACTAAAAAAATTAGGAGGGATGTTAAGATGGTGGAAATTGGAAAAATTGGATTTGGGGTTTGCTAAAATTATAATTTAACGTGAATAATAGTAGACAAATACCGGACAGTCAAGCACTACAACAAGGTGCCTCTGCTGTTATTAGCTGACTAACTGGTTTATGTGTATACCTTTCCGACCCTAATTTATTTCCTTCTCAAATAATCCTCATTTCTCCCCAAAAAACAACCAGAATGCCCCCTTAAAAGCAGGTGCGAGAAGACAATTCCTTCGAAAGCATTTTGTAGGAGAACGGGCCAACATGCATGCCAATTTCAGTTCATGCGCAACAGTCAGTTATGTTGCAAAAAATAACCCCAGCAGTGTTTTGTTAAAAACATAGAATTTCACTACCCACAAAACCACTTAACTTAAAAAAAGATTTAAACTAAAAAATTACCTTTCCTCTTTTCCTGGCGCGCTAGAAAAGATGTCAACCCGTGAAAGGTAAAATGAATAAGACCCATGCCTAATCTGTAAAGTATGAAATGCTCTTCCTTTTTGTTTTGTTCACTTGACGTGTTCCATCTGTTCCTAACTGTTCCGTGTTCATCGGGAGTTTCAGGCCATCGAGTGAGCAGAGGAGGCTTGAAGCTGAGCGCAATTCCTTTACTCAACCTCAACTCAACTCCAATAAAGACAAATTGGTCTTGTCGAGCGCTACCGACCTACAAAGTTAGCACCTTTTCAGCGTTGGTGCGAGCAGAAAACCCCTTGGTGCAAAAGCTCTTAACTAGTTAAATAAATAAACCTTCGATAGAAACAGTTTTTTTCTTTCCCTCGCCTTTCCAGTTTCTGCCTTTTTGTTGTTTAACTTCGCGCGAAGGGAGTTTCATATTTTCTAAATTGTTTTATTTGCGCAACTAGAAATACGAAAATGACCGGATGTTGAATTTTCCCTCATGCGGAATGCATTTTACCGCGCGTCGCATCCTAAATTTCCGAAGACTGCCTGGGAACGAGACTGTGAAGGCCCAACTTCCCCTCAGTTTTCTGATATCAAGACAAACAGTCAATAAGTAATCAATGAATAACTTTACTTTATTTAAAAAAACTTGCAAAAGACTACTAGTCAAAGACCAAACAAATCTTAACAATAACATACATTTTTGCGTCTACATAAACATACAATGATAGATCAGATCAGGCTAAACGTCTTTTATTTCTGTTAGGTTCGTAAGAACAAATGTAATTTTCTGTACAGGCGTTTAACTCATGCATTCTTTATTTTAATATCTTCCACCTCTGAAAAAAATTAACATACCTAGTATACAAGTGGATAAACCCAAGACAAATTTCAAAGCAGGTTTGACGATGTTTCTTTGGTTTTGATGACAAGTCATTCGAAAAATATTCAACACTTTAAAAGCTAGTTGCATAGATTAAGAGATCAAAGTGAGTGTAATTAAAAATAGTTTTTATTTGGTTGTATCCACGAAGTAACCTACCACGAGTTAGTTTGCTTACGATTTGAGTGATTGATAAAGAAATTGCAACAAATTGGCACCGTTTTAAAGCTGTGCAAGGCCCTCTTAAGTTCAAATGTATTAGAAAAAGAAATACAAGACGATTCGGAGAGGGGGGGGGCAGTGGTAACAGCGAATTTGAAGAATCCCTTCACCTTCTTAATACCAGTGATTCGCATTGTCTAGACAAAACCACGAAGGCCTTGTTTAAAATGTTTTTAACCAAGCCAAACAATGTTTTCTTTTTGGTTCACACCCAACCTGGAACCTCTGAAGTTACTGTGTCATTAAAAAGTTATAGCCGGTTATGTTATGCGTTAGTTTGTGAGATCAGCGCGTGCTATATAAAGCATTAGGTTAAATCGGAAATTCCAGATTGATTGTTCCAATTGGTCGGCGAAAAAATGAATTCATTGAAAGCGGACTTTAATCAACGATACTTTGTTTAAACTTAACTCGTTTACAAGTTTCCAGTAAAGTCATTTTTAATTACACTAAACTCAGAACTCTTCTTTTAAAGTGTTGCATGACAAAAGAATCGGTTACATTTCTCAATCTGTTTTCGGTACGATTACAAAATTCATATAGTTTTTATAAGCTTAAGTAAAAAGTTAAATATCAAGTACATGGTTAAAAAATCATTGTGAAAAAATTCATCTCCGAGGTTGAGTGACTGGTGTCCATTATGTTCCTTCCAACAGCACTGCATTCCAAGTTGCACTGCATCTCTGAAAGCTGTTAAGACGAAAAAAAAAAAAGATGTACTTATGAGGGGTTAACTTCTGTAACTTTCGGTCACGATCTCTAAGAATTACGATCCTTGGCTAGCGCTTATTCCCGCGCAATCCCTTGCACTCGCAAAATACTTTTTCGATTTACTTTAAGGACATTTCATTTGAATTTGATTTCAGTTCCTTTAATGCTGTCAATCCAATAATTAGAACATTGTTTTTAGTAGTTAAACAGTCATGGGTTAATCGCAGGAATAGAAGAGCGAGTGACAATTTTCGCGCACGCTAGCATATTTCGCCCGCAGGAAAGCAAGGGACTCTCTAGACCTCACCCAGTGACAACTTAGAATTGGGTTGTTCGCGTGGGATCAGTTTAACAACAACAACCGAAGATATATAATTCTTTGTACACTGAGGAATGAACACTAAACTTCTTTCCTCGGCAATTGGTAAATTAAAAATATCATGCGTCAGCGGTAGCAGATACAAAAATTGGCACTTACCAATGTTGAAGAGGGCTCATTCAAGTTGAGACCGCCGTCGCAAGTAGAGACCTTCCGACATGGCTGAAACGAAATGCCGAGCCATCATGATCTGAAAACAAGAAAAGGAGAAAGACATTATTTTATTAATATTACAAACTGAAGGGTTAACTCGTGGTAGTCTTTATTTTGGGACGCACAAAGAAACCAGAAAATATCAACTTCCGGTTTGGTATAAAATTAAAAAATTAAAAAAAAAAAAGGAACAAACAAGCAATTGAAAACAAGAACAAAAGGCGATTAAGTATACAAATGATTAGGGATGGTATAGGATAGAAACAACTTTAGTCCTGAGAAATAACGAGTTTCCATATAATGCAAGCAGGTGTGTCCTCCTGACGATAAAGTTAACGATCGTCCTTTACGCAGTCCATGGATTGTAATCATGGAAGTGTCAAAGTTCGTCATTTTTTTCTTGGCATTATAATTTTTTGTGGCATTCCTTATTATAATTCAAATGGCATCACTGAGGATTCAGTTCTCATTATTCACTTTTTAAAGTTTAGAAAGACATTGGTTTTTGTTTTTATGGGAGAACATACCTCTGGATTGAGATTGATATATCGCGAAACGATTTTGCCAGACAGGTAAAGATGGCTGCGACGACTGTCTTCAGATCCCTGGGACCTAAATGAAATAACTCTGAGAAGGAAAATTAGTAACACAAGCAAGGCCTCGGCGGAGGCCCATATGAAGTCCAGTATTAGGAATTCCGCATAGATTGTCTGATCTGGCGCGAGTAAAGCTGATTTGGTTCGGTATGGAGAGTTGAATCAAGAGCCGCGCGCTGATTTAATTCTCCGCGGTTTGCTATTGCCCTTCGACGTCATTAAATCCCGCAAAAGCCTGGGAATAAGCATATTTACTTTCTTTGCATTTAGCTAGTTAGGAAACCTGTTGTAAAATTTTTTTATTCGTTTGATTTTACAAGAAGTTCTTGGTAAACTGCTCAAGTTTTTCAACCTAGATTTTTGAACAATGTCGATCTTTCTTTCCTGGTGCAAATCACTTTAAACAACGAAGGTCCTCCTGAATGAATGCTCAAGACGTACAAAACGCTTCCAAAAGCAGCAAAATGTTGGCTTATCATTTTTTTTTAAAAAAATCTGCATTTGCAGTAAAAATCTAGAATGGCGGCAGGACCTGTTCACAGGCTTACTAGCGTTGATACCGCCTACCTACATTCTATGTTGTTTAGATAATCCTCTAGCAACTTGCGCTATCCAAAAAATAATTAAACTGTGAAAGTCTCAGGGGGAGGGGGTTGGATTTTCACTCGACCCCCCTCAGATTCTCGTAATCTACTCCTGCTAAGAAACTGCGCCTTTTTTCTTAGCTTTCGGCTCCGTAACAAAAAACTAATCTAACGGCTGCTTATGGCTGTTATTAGCATTTCAGGACCAAATTGATATCAGTCATAGGAAAATAGTAAATCGGGCACAATTAGCCCAGTTCATGAAAAAAGCCACGCCAAAAATATCATCGCCACCTGGCATCGAATTTTTCGGCTTAGATTTTTGACGATTTTCACCCAAAAATATACCGAGTCTGTGCTGTAGGAAACCTAATGGGAATAAAGGTGGGGATTTTAATGATATGAACCAAGAGTCATGATGGCTCTTGATGAACGGATAACATTTAGTGAATTGCATACGTACATGAAGGACCAAAGGACACGCTGTTTCACGATTTTGACGCCTACGCGATAAAGCCAGCTGAAGGAGTAGAGTACAGAAAACTCCTTGTTTATTAAGCTAAGATATATATATGTTCATGACCAGTAATTATTGCATGTACCTTCCCTATGTTAATGCATGTACCTTAGTATATATGAAGGAAAATTCTACATTCTACTCTTCAACTGTATTTGCAACGACACGCTTTTGGAAAAATGATGAGAAATCATTTGTTGTAGAAGGGGCGGGCGAGGTGCGCGGGGCAGGCATACGCCCATCCACCACTGCCCCTCTCCGCAGCCCTTGACGCTCATACCGAGATATCATTGAAAATTCTGCGTTTAAAATGAACAGGTATAAAACTGCGTCTCCTCAAGTCAAGAGATGGTTTTAAACAGTCATGACCTCATGAATAGTAATCAGCGACAGACAAGTATAATTTTGGGCGCATTTTAGGGCGAATTGTATTTTTTTCCTAATTGATTCTTGAAAATTCGTGCAGCGGCGTAGAATGCTCTGAGCTAATTGTGCAAAAATTAGAAATAAAAAAGAAAAAGGAGACTTTAGTAACTTGCCGAGGCTTTCAACTTCTATTTTTTATCCTTTTGACGAAAGGCTTACTTAAACTGTCTTCGAAAAAATTCACGCCGCAGCTTATCTTTCTATGAATAGCGGAATCAACTGCAACTTGTTTTTTCCTTGTTCTAATTATTTGAATGCTTTGAAAAATCGAAATTACTAAACAGCTGTATAAACCTTTTTAAAAGTGAAAAAAATTAAAAATTTTGCTGCTTTTGGTAGCGTTTGTCTACAGCTAGGTAAATTTTAAAAAAGAGAGAGAGAGAAGATTTTTCACGAAAACTCCCTCTTCAGCTTATACGGTATTAAGAGCAACCGATGGTCAACGTTTTATTTTAAACTTTTTCTGAGAAAACAGGCAGTTAATTTATAACGAGGAATCTGCGGCAAACATTTGGAAAAGTATGCAAAAAGGACTATAATTGAAAGAGGAGGTCTGCGTCCTTCCACCCTCCCCCTAATTTGGAGGATTATGTAACAATTTTTCACTTAACCAAGTAACAAATGCCAGTCTAAATTGTTCAAATACTTTAAGTTCACCTTTTGTCGTTTTCTAAGTTTGCCATTGTTGTTCATCGCGCGCCTGTTTAGCTAAGGCCGGGCTCATGAATTCCATTGAACACTTGATTTCATCAGACCTTTCCATTCAATTTTCAAGTGGAGTCGCTTATCGTTTTCTATATTAGACTGACATACCTCTGCTTGACACGTACTTAATTTCGATTCCTTAAAAGATTACCACAGACTTGATGATGGCTGCTATGGCGTCCAGTATTTCCTGTGTAAATATGATGCTTCTGAAAAACAAGAGATTTGAGCCTTCAATTCTGCAACAAAAAAGGTTTTCTTTTGAACGTATCTCTCAGACATCCTCTCTAAAGCCAGGGATTTTCTTTTGCTAACATGCACTTGGAAATGTGTTTCTAGTGAGACAAACTGGCTAAACTATATAATTTCTTTTTCACTTGTAGTGTACTTGTTTTATGATCCACAAGGCATGCAAGCCGTTCATACTGAGAGTCGATATGTACTGTTTTCTAAGCGATGAAGTTAAATCCTATAGAAACCTACTTGCATCCCGTAATTGACGGTTATTGTTTTAGGTATTTTTTAGTTCACCTTTTGGACGAACTCGTTCGCCTCTCCTTGGAAAAACAATCTTTTCTCTTATCTCGAACTTACCTTTGTACTCAGAGAGGTTAATTCATTCAGTATATCAGCTTTGAGGTCATCATCATTGTCTTTAACAGTCCTTAACAGTCTTAAAAGGCTCCTGGAAGTTCCTGACCTATAATGAAATGCTTTTCACAAAGATTCAGAGAGTAGCGCAGCGAGATTTATTATTTTGGTTATAAAAATCTTTGCAATGTTGTTAGCCGAAAGAATTGTCACTGAAATACTCCAACTGCAATCTGTTGTGCATAAACTCCTTCATTTGTGTTTATACGTGTCTTCCTTTGAATCATTTCTGTCTGCTTCCTGAAGACACAATGTATGGATTTTGCTAGAAAGGGGACCAGTTTCAAACAGCTGTTAAAAGAGTGCTATTAATAGCATGTTTAAGTAGACCTACCAGAGACTATAAGCAAAGGCGTTGGGCCTGAATCACGTGAGTAAAACCACCTGTCACTGAATTTCGAAACAGTCCTTTTCTTCTCCGAAAGTATTCTGACTCTGAAACTAATAAACTTACAAGGAAATCAGTATCAATAAAAATTTCATCGAGAATTCACCTTCTTATAACGATCAGCATGGCCAGATCGTAATCTCTTGTTGCTGTATGTCCAAGTGAGCGATACAGATTAACAGATCCGTCAGTAAGATTAGCGTCTGTGTGTGTGTTCAAGACGCAACAACATGTTGTTGTCTTAGTACTAGCGTGGGGCATAAAATCATCATTGTATCCTTTGTCACCTTTTTGCTTGTTCACTAAAAATTTTGAAGAGTGTATGGTCTGAAATTTCGATATAGTAAATGTTTAGACCCTTTTTTTTATTATATACTTACGAACACGTGACATCTCAGGAACTCTTTTCCCGTCCGTGTTATCGTGAAAAGGGTGCTGTCTGCTGGGGCTTCTTGCATTTGACCTGAAAGCAAAAAACCTAACTCGGATTTAGAATACCTTACTTACTCACCTTCAGTGGGTAACTCTTGTCACAGACAAAATCGGTAACAGGCAGGTTTCCTGGAGGAACTCATCACAAAGAACAGAAACGTGCAGGCCAAGGATAGGACTCATCTTGAATCTTGCCAGACTAAGGTGAACTCTTGCTCGTTAACTCTTGTCCTGGACTCATTAAATGGCGGTTTCAGCCAAAGTATTGGCATATCATTTCCCTCGGGAAAAAACGCGCATCTTGGCACAAAAAGGCAAAACATGGTGTTCATCTTGCCGACAGGGCGCGCCCCAAACGTCCTTTTTCATCCTCTTCTCCGAAAACCGTTGAAAAAAGTATTTGAAGCGTAAAAATCGCGGTTGAAGTTCCTGAAAGGAAACTGTTTAAGCTTTTGTAAAGAGTTAGTAGAAAAAACAAAAACTTTGACCTGCACTGTGTGTTCGTAACTTTATTGATCATTACAGTAAAGCTAATTACAATAATTTCAAGCTATTAGTATGATCTTTATAATGTTGTTTCAGTGTTAATGTTTGTAGCAAAAAAATGACACCCTCTCATATCCATTTCATATGTAATATTTGTGAATCTTTATTGACCTTTTAAGTGCAACAATATTACAATCAAATAAAATTAAATAAATTTAGCCGTCGCGGGTGAATCTTGATTCAGTTAGAGTTGGATGGCTTGACAGTTTCTTGAACGATGGAAAAAAAGAGGACTATCTTGGGAGAATACCACAAAAATGTCCACTCTCGAGATGACCAAAAGTGCAAAAAATGAAAAAAGTTGACGGTCGTGATGGCGAACTTGACAGGGCGCGCCCAAAACTGTGTTCTTCCTCCATTCTTATGATGAAAAAAATCATAGCAAAAAAATTCCGAAAAAGAAGAAGTCCGCTGGCGTTCAACGTTGCTGAAATAAAATAGCATTAGTAAATTATTTAGAAGATACTTAAGACAGTTTAAGAAACCACACTGACAGCCACTTACTTTGTTGTTTATTTTTATTTTATTAAATGGAAATAATTTCCATCAATCCTAAACTGTAAAGCTGTTTGAATTTACAGCTTTACTACCACAACTTTTTAATGTATATAAATAAAAAAAATACACACCAACAACACAGCAGCGTTCGTATCCTTTATTAAATTCCATACACCAGTTAAAGTTAAATATTTAATTAAATAAATAATAATGTATTTAGTTACCTATTTTAGTTTGAAGATACTTTATTTATATTAGAAAAAACAGTCACACCACAACAACACAGCAATACTGTCGTTTTTTATTAAAATCATAATTGAGTTACAGTAAAGTAGCTAATTAAATAATTGGGGAAGCGCTCCTAGAAGAAAAATTTAGGATCCAGGCAAAACCAAGGAGTGTTCATATGTCCATAAAACTTGACACATCGAATGGACACCCCAGGGTTCCCCAGATCGTACGCAGTGATCATTGGCTGCTTGCAATCGACACATTGTCGATACCAAGCCTTGCAATGTTTCAGTTCGGAGACAGATCGGATGCGTAGATCGAAAAACCGAAAAAAGCCGAATCGAGTCATTAGATAATGAATATGTAAATAATTGCACTAACCTGGTTTCCCTGTGTATACTTGGGCTGATAAATATGGTTCAACGTTTGCATAACTTTCAACGTACCGTACGAAAAACGTTTCTATAGAAACTTGCTATGTACACCTTTCTGGAAGACGTAAGCAACAATTCTTAACGGACGCTGCGAGTGCAGTGAACGACAGGTTTACGCAGGCGTAGAACCATTTAAATCAGCCCTACCTTATATGGGTTGCTGCACTCCGTCATGTTTTGTCACCACTGGGTACATGATCGGTCCCACCCCTCCAGGGGGAACTAGGCTCCAAATGCTACTTGAAAAGGTGTAGTCCCATGTTGTTCGTCCAGATGATGCTTGCATGTCAACTCTCGAAGATGAAGTCCAGCCGGCCAATTATACTAAATAATCCTTGGTAGCCATTTCAACTAACATCTATTTTTGCTCAACGGCATGGAAACTATATTCACTGTACACGTAGTTCTAAAAGGCCAGTGGATGGGCAAAGTTTTCAAAAGTAATTTTTTCCTTTAAGATCTTCACCTTGTACGAGTGAGAGTAAGGATTTTGTGCTATTTCATGAAAGGCTAATTTTGAATTTAAGCCGTTTTGAGCATCAATGTTAGTTAAAACAGCTTTTAAAGTAATTTCTATCTGCTTTCTTCTCTGACTATCCTTCTTTCTAACAAGCCGGTTGTTTTTGATTTGAGGCAGAATAATATTGAAGTCATCATCATCATCATCATCATCATTATCATCAGTTTAATCCCATATGGCTCCTCTTCTTCTTTCGTCATTAGCAGCCGCCAAAGTTTCCTTATCTACTTAACTAACTACTTAAGCTTTTAATTCCTACGCGACGATCATATCTTTGTTCTTCTTTCTTCGGCCGGCTTCTTCTTTTAACGAACAATGGGACGTACAGGGCGATCAAGTCACAGATCAAAGTAAAACCAAGACGGCTGAACACTGCTTCAGGGCAAGGCAACCATTTCCAATGGACCATTGATATGAAGACTACCTACGCCTACGATTTGTAGACGATCAGTGCCTGCGTACTGCAATGCAGGGCTTCTAAACAAGAGAATTCTAACGCAAGGCAAGACTGACAAGAAGACAAACCCAGTCGTCTCAATGGCAATGAAGTCTTAACGAAAGAAAGCTCCCGTTATCTAATGAACGACAACTATCTATAACCAATGCAGTATACACAACAGCAACATTAGGCGCAAATTCAGTAACCCACAGACGAAGGAAAGGGTTCACTACGCATGCGCATTACCGAACTGTTTTTGCGGCTAATGCTATTCTTGTGCCTACCACACGGGTTACTGACTCTTCCAACAAACTATTAGTTTCGTGTTGTTCCTCCGGCGATGAATCCGCGCTGCGTCGTAGATTGGTGTGTTGAAGATTACCTACGCTTACAGTTTGTAAACGGTCTAGCCTAGGGTGTGTGTGTTGTCCCATCATTCCCTTGAAAACTTGTGACAAAGCGTTTAGGCCTTACCGTGAAGCAACGCCTGGTCATAAGTTTGTAAGACTAAACTGTACATTCTTCTACGCTCGCAAATTTGGTAAAATTAAACTCAGCTGAAACTTAATTTGTCAATCATCGGTAAAAACTATTATTTTTTCGTTTCGGTAAAGGAGACCAAATGGTTCACAGACTTAAGGTTTTGATGATTTTAGGTAAAGCATGACCAAATTTGCGAGGCTAAACTATTTAACTATCTGCAACTAGAGGAACCACTTAACCCGTAAGGGGTGGCCAAATAAGGTCCCCTACAGCAGTTAAATGATCTTTAGTCTCCAGTCCTAAATGTGTCATTAAGTAACCATTGTCTGGTTGAACCTTACGAATGATAGCTTCACTTGCCCAGTGTATGAACTGTGAAGTGAAGTGTGATTAGTTAAATTCGATTTTGCGCAACTAAGCGGGAGACCGTAGCGAAGACGACGATGTCCTTGACGACGAGGTGACGACGAAATGCATCCGACGTAAAGACGAAAGCCGAATCAAAGCCGAAATTGCATTTGAAAAGCCTAAACCTATCGTTGACCGATTACCTGCAAAGCAACCCAAGTTTGAAAAAAGGGAAGGGGAGGCCCTTACCAGCCCAGGGAGCCCGCTAGCTAATCTAACTACAATTAAGTAACGCCGAAAAAAGAAGTCGACAGACTTCAAGCCGAAAGGTGTGTGTGTATTTTGAAGTATGCTTTGTAAGGTTCATCCAGAGCTCTATTGACCCAGCCCATAAGGATGGACCTAACCTGGTGGCAAAACTTCTCCTAAGCATCCTGTCTGGAGCTTGTGCTCTGAAAATTTGAAGCTGACGTTACAAGAGGAAGGTGGTCTTGTCTGTTGGTCTGGCAGAGGAAACGGTTCTGTTTCATGGAAAAGCTGAAATCTGTAAAAACAAAAAATGATTAAAACATTACAGAAGAGAACTTGAAAGTATAACAATCAACTGATGGAAATGTCTCAATTGTCCAGATGTGCAGCCTTAAACAAGCTCTAAGATCAAAAGCATATTCTTCACCAATTGAGCAGTTGGAGACCATAGAAAACAGTGACCGAAGTGTGCTCGTCCTTGCTAACAATATAAGATTCTGAAGGTTTGCCTATATTTTGTGTTCTTTAATTTTCATTGCTTCTTTTAGTTAACCAAATCTGCAAAAATGTTCTCAACAGACACGATATTTGCTATGGAAAACTTAAGCATGAAAATTCCAACTCTCGTTCAATAGTACTGAATACTGTTCACTGCTTCTTTCTGAGAGAATATTATGCAAGATCGCAACTTGGATGTAAAAGTATTAGGATATGTAGTTTATTGCCTTAATAAGCTTAAAACGCTAGGTAGTTGACCAACAAAGTACCTACCTCTGTTCGGCACATCCTGTTGATCCCTTAACGCTTATTGCAAGTGGACATTTCATGATAGCTGCTATGACGTTTGGGAGACCCTGTCAAAATATAATGCTTCTCAAGACCAAATTATATATCTCATGAATGCATGTCACTCTCTCTAAAGCCACGGTGGGTTAGCCTTAATCTTGAATTCTGTTTCCTTTGTTGCCTCTTCACTTGCTCTATCATTGTTATAAGCCGTTATTTTGATGTCACAGTTAAGACCTTGCCAAAGGAAATATTTAATTAAGGCATTGATCCTACAGAAACCTTAAGTTAGGTTTTACAGATTGGAGAGAAGGCTGTAAATTTATATCCAGTAATCGACGGTTTTAGGGTCTTATTGTTCACGTTTTGGATGAACTCATTTGCCTTTCCTTGGAAAGAACATAATTTTTTTAAATATATAACTTACCTCTGTACTGAGACAGGTTTATTCAGTATATCAGCTCTGAGGTCATCATTGTCTTTCACAGCTCTTTTAAAACAATCTTTAACGACATCTTGAAGTCCCTGACCTAGAATGAAATGTCTTTCACAAAGATTCAGTAGCACTGTACTCTTAGCCTTCAATATTATTCTTTTTCTTGTCCTTCATCCTTCAGTCAGGAATTCAAGTCCTTTTCCTTTGTTTTAATAATTCCGAGCTAACAAACTATGTCACTAGGGTGCCTGGCCAATTTTTTGGCGTTGAAAGTTATTTACTATGAAACTTTATCTTAGCAAAAAAAAATTCTTTCTTTTTCAAAATACAACTTCATGATGGTTAAGGTTAAGCCGACTAAAAAAAAATTGAAATGTTGTAACAGTTACGACTTAAAAACACCGACTGAAATCTGTTGTCATAAAATCCTTCATTTGTGTTCCTTTGAATTTGCTGTCTTGGATTTTACTTAGTATGATGGTAAGTTCCTAACGGCTAAAAAAGCGTGACATTGTTTTTGTAGTAGACTTACCCAGGCTATGAGCAAAGGCGTTGGGCGTTGGAATCACGTGAGTAAAATCACCTCATTGAATTTCGAACCAGTCTTTGCTTCTTCGAGAGTATTCTGACTCTAAAAAATAAAAATAAAAAACTTACAAGGAAATTAGTATCAATTTAAATAACAACGAGAATTGTTTTTGTGTGACTGAAAATAACGATCACTATGGTTTAATTCAAATTGCAGTCCAGGTAAGCGATGCGCATCAACAGATTATCAGTATGAGGGAAATTATGATTAATATGTGTGTGTGTTCAAGATGTAACAACACGCTGATGGGTGCAGCGTAAAATCATCATTGAGTTCTTTATTATTGTTTTTTGTTTGTTGTTGTTCACTAAAAGTTGTGAAGAGCGCATGTTTAAACCCTTCAGTTGTTATATACTTACGGTCGCGTGACATCTCAGCAACCATCCTCTCGTCACTGTCAGAAAATGGTGTCTGCTGTGGCTTCACTCTTGCATTTGATCTGAAAGCAACAAAGCTAACTTGGATGTTAAAATACCTAACTTGCTCACCTTCAATACGCAACTCGTTTCAGTCAAAATCATGGACAGGCGGGTTTCCTGGAGGAACTCATCCAAAAAACAAAGGTACTGGCCAAAGGGGGAACTCATCTTGAATCTTGCCAGGGTAAACTCTTGCTCTTTATCTCTTTAAGGTGCTTTGCGCCAAAAGTATCAGCCTCTGACTTGTCTCGGATAAAAACCAAGATGAAAGAAAAAAAATGCAGCATCTTGACATGAAAAGGCAAAACTTGGTGTTCATCTTGCCGACAGGGCGCGCCCCAAAACACCATTTTCCGCTTCTTGTCCATAACCGTTGAAAAAGGTAGAAGTGAAAAAAAAATCGCGTTCGAAGTTCCTGAAAAGAAATTTTTTAAGCTTTTATAAAGCGTTAGTAGAAAAAATATAATCTTTGACCTGCAGTGTGTGTTTGTAACTTTATTGATCATCAAAGTAAAGCTAATTACAATTATTACAAGCTACAAGTATGATCTATATAGTGTTCTTTGATGTTTTTAATGTTGGTATAAAAAGATGACACCCAATCATTTCATATTTAATATTTGCAAAGCTTTATTGATCTTTTAAGCGCAACTAAATTACAATCAAATAAAATTAATGTAGCTGCCGCGGGTGAATCAGAATTGGATGGCTTGACAGCTTCTTGAACGATGGCAAACAAGAGAAGAATCTTGAGAGAATAAGACGAAAAATGTTTGTGTTGTACGTGTCCACTCTTGAGATGGCCAAAATTGCAAAAAAAGGAAAAAAAAGTTGACGGTCGTGTTGGCGAACTTGACAGGGCGCGCCCAAAACTGTGTTCTTCCTCCATTCTTATGATGAAAAAAATCATAGCAAAAAAATTCCGAAAAGAAAAAGTCCGCTGACGTTCGACGTTGCTGAAATAAAATAGCATTAGTAAACTATTTAGGAGTTACTTAAGACAGTTTAAGAAACCACACTCACAGCCACTTGCTTTGTTGTTTATTTTTATTTTATTAAATGCAAATAATTTTCATCAATCCTAAACTGTAAAAGCTGTTTGAATGTAGAGCTTTACTACCACAACTTTTTAATGTATAGAAATAGGTTAAAATACACACCAACAGCACAGCAGCGTTCGTATTTTTTATTAAATTCCATACACCAGTTACAGTTAAATATTTAATTAAATAAATAATAATGTATTTAGTTACCTCTTTTAGTTTGAAGATACTTTAATTATATTAGAAAAAAAGTCACACCACAACGACACAGCAGTACTGTCGTTTTTTATTAAATTCATAATTGAGTTACAGTAAAGTAGCTAATTAAATAATTGGGGAAGCGCTCCTAGAAGAAAAATTTAGGATCCAGGCAAAACCAAGGAGTGTTCATATGTCCATAAAACTTGACACATCGAATGGACACCCCAGGGTTCTCCAGATAGTACGCAGTCATTGGCTGCTTGCAATCGACACATTGTCGATACCAAGCCTTGCAATGTTTCAGTTCGGAGACAGATCGGATGCGTAGATCGAAAAACCGAAAAAAGCCGAATCGAATTCGAAGCCGAGTTCCGACTTAAGTCATTAGACAGTAAATAAGTAAATAATTGCACTAACCTGGTTTCCCTGTGTATACTTGGGCTGATAAATATGGTTCAACGTTTGCATAACTTTCAACGCACCGTACGAAAAAGGTTGCTATAGACACTTGCTATGTACAATTTTCTAGAAGACGTAAGCAACAACTCTTAACAGACGCTGCTGGTGCAGTAAACGACAGGTTTACGCAGGCGTAGAACCATTTAAATCAGCCCTACCTTATATGGGTTGCTGCACTCCGTCATGTTTTGTCACCACTGGGTACATGATGGGTCCCACCACTCCACGGGAAACAGGGCTCCAAATGCTGCTTGAAAAGGTGTAGTCCCATGTTGTTCGTCCAGATGATGCTAGCATGTCAACTCTCGAAGATGAAGTCCAGCCGGCTAATTATACTAAATAATCCTTGGTAGCCATTTCAACTAACATCTATTTTTGCTCAACGGCATGGAAACTATATTCACTGTACACGTAGTTCTAAAAGGCCAGTGGATGGGCAAAATTTTCAAAAGTAATTTTTTCCTTTAAGATCTTCACCTTGTACGAGTGAGAGTAAGGATTTTGTGCTATTTCATGAAAGGCTAATTTTGAATTTAAGCCGTTTTGAGCATCAATGTTAGTTGAAACAGCTTTTAAAGTAATTTCTATCTGCTTTCTTCTCTGACTATCCTTCTTTCTAACAAGCTGGTTGTTTTTGATTTGAGGCAGAATAATATTGAAGTCATCATCATCATCATCATCATTATCATCAGTTTAATCCCATATGGCTCCTCGTCTTCTTTCGTCATTAGCACTCAGCCGCCAAAGTTTCCTTATCTACTTAACTAACTACTTTAGCTTCTAATTAAAATGCGACGATCATATCTTTGTTCTTCTTTCTTCGGCCGGCTTCTTCTTTTAACGAACAATGGCACGTACAGGGCGATCAAGTCACAGATCAAAGTAACACCAAGACGGCTGAACACTGCTTCAGGGCAAGGCAACCATTTCCAACGGACCATTGATACGAAGACTATCTACGCCTACGATTTGTAGACGATCAGTGCCTGCGAACTGCAATGCAGGGCTTCTAAACAAGAGAATTCTAACGCAAGGCAAGATTGACAAGAAGACAAACCCAGTCGTCTCAATGGCAATGAAGTCTTAACGAAAGAAAGCTCCCGTTATCTAATGAACGACAACTATTTATAACCAATGCGGTATACACAACAGTAACATTAGGCGCAAATTCAGTAACCCACAGACGAAGGAAAGGGTTCCCTACGCATGCGCATTACCGAACTGTTTTTGCGACTAATGCTATTCTTGTGCCTACCACACGGGTTACTGACTATTCCAACAAACTATTAGTTTCGCGTTGTTCCTCCGGCGATGAATCCGCGCTGCGTCGTAGATTGGTGTGTCGAAGATTACCTACGCTTACAGTTTGTAAACGGTCTAGCCTAGGGTGTGTGTGTTGTCCCATCATTCCCTTGAAAACTTGTGACAAAGCGTTTAGGCCTTCCCGTGAAGCAACGCCTGGTCATAAGTTTGTAAGACTAAACTGTACATTCTTCTACGCTCGCAAATTTGGTAAAATTAAACTGATCTGAAACTTAATTTGTCAATCATCGGTAAAAACTATTATTTTTTCGTTTCGGTAAAGGAGACCAAATGGTTGAGAGACTTAAGGTTTTGATGATTTTAGGTAAAGCACCACCAAATTTGCGAGGCTAAACTATTTAACTATCTGCAACTAGAGGAACCACTTAACCCGTAAGGGGTGGCCAAATAAGGTCCCCTACAGCAGTTAAATGATCTTTAGTCTCTAGTCCTAAATGTGTCATTAAGTAATTAACCATTGTCTGGTTGAACCTTACGAATGATAGCTTCACTTGCCCAGTGTATGAACTGTCAAGTGAAGTGTGATTAGTTAAATTCGATTTTGCGCAACTAAGCGGGAGACCGTAGCGAAGACGACGATGTCCATGACGACGAGGTGACGACGAAATGCATCCGACGAAAAGACGAAAGCCGAATCAAAGCCGAAATTGCATTTGAAAAGCCTAAACCTATCGTTGACCGAATACCTGCAAAGCAACCCAAGTTTGAAAAAGGGAAGGGGAGGCCCTTACCAGCCCAGGGAACCCGCTAGCTAATCTAACTACAATTAAGTAAAGCCGAAAAAAGAAGTCCAGAGACTTCAAGCCGAAGGTGTGTGTATTTTAAAGTATGCTTTGTAGGGTTCATCCAGAGCTCTTTTCCATTAACCTCCCTTGACCCAACCCATAAGCACGAACCTAACCTGGATGGCAAAATAGCTCATAAGCATCCTGTCTGGAGCTTGTGCTGTGGAAGTTTGAAGCTGACTGTACAAGAGGAAGGTGGTCTGGTCTGGTGGTATGACAGAGGAAACGGTTCTGTTTCTTGGAAAGCTGAAATTCGTAAAAGAAAATGATTAAAACTTTGTGGAAAAGAAATGAAAGATAAAATAATGAACTGCTGGAAAATCCCTGGGAGGGGAGGGTGTGCACAACAAAGTCACAGTGAGGCTGGGCAGCTAGGTCCAAACCTTATCCTTTTATATACCATCTTTGGCAGAAAAGGTACAACCTTTTTTGTATACCTTCTGTTGTCAGTGGTACCCTTTTCACACACTTAGTTTTTAACTTTGCATCCGTTAAAATGTACCGTCTTTGAAATATGAAGACCGATACATGCTTCTGGAATTTTTTTTTGCAGCGATAAAATTTATCTGTGAGCCCCTTTGGGTTATTTTTCAGATCGCAATGAGGGATTTGTTAACTCTTTTACATACTTCAACTAGCGAAATTCCTACCCTGTTATATACCCGAAGCCTGAAGAAGGTGTGGTACCCCTTCCGGATGGAGCCGGATGGAGCCGGATGGAGCCCCCCCCGTATAGGCCATTATAGGGAGTACCATCTTCGGTTGGAAATGTCTCACTTGTCAAACTATGCAACCTTGGCGAAGCATTAATGCCAATAAGAATATATATAAAAAACGTTCTTCACACAAAGGAGACGGAGACCTTAGACCTTTTCTGTTTATTTAGCTAAATATTGATATTGACAATATTAATTATAGCTAGGAAAAGCTCTCAACAGCCTGTAAAGTTGTTATGCAAAGCGAAGCATGAAAATTTCGACTCTCATTCAATGCAAGTACTGTTTGCTGTTTGCTTTTGTTTTTATGTTAAGAGTTCAACATCCATGTGAGAACTTTCCTGTGGCAATAATCTAAAGGACTGTAGTTTTTCTCTTCCACAAAGCAGGGGTCATTTGTTTTTTCCAACTGAGTGTTACAAATTTGTCTAATGTACGTTTGCCTGCTGGTTTCGCCAAGTCAATTCACTATCTGGCATTCTTGATCAGAGTAAACATTACAACACTTCTAAAAAATAAGCAACCGTCAGACAGAAAATAAAATGCTAGTTTTGATGATTCTATAGATTATTTGATGAAAAACGTGCCTTACCTTTTTGGAAAGTCGAAGTTGCTGAGTTCCAAGTCTGTCACATGTATCAAATTCGAGTGGGCCGTTCGCCATGTGGTCGACATCTTAATTCAGAGTCCATTTTTCAACTTCCAATGTAGTATTTTCTGCAACAGAAAAATAATTCTTAGTAAGTATATGGCTATCGATATTAAGACATACTTAAACATCGAAAGTATCTACTTTATCTACTTTTCAGAACACAAATTACAAACTTAAGTAAACGTGTACTAAGTCTGGTCGAAACAATCTTCTACCTACCTTTCTGGTACGACTGAATCCACAATGTTTGCCAATGTAGCATTTTGTGTTAAAGCCAAGAGTACAGTACAATGGAAAACGAACTTAGCGGTAGTGAAAGAGTAATATTCCGCAAGAGTTCGCAGAATCGTTCGCGACAGTAGCGAACTTTCGCGTCTTCCTTCACAATGAATAATTATCACAGTATTTTAAATTTGAATGTGGCGCCCTCCAGCAACCTCGTGTTCAGAAAGTGCTTCATGATTGGTTCTTGCTTGCACGTGAAAACGAATCGAACCAGTGGCATGTTCACCACTTGTTTACCACTGAGAAAAACAAATTAGGAACATTTGTCGGGGATCTTGAGTTTTGTTTTCGTTTATTGCCGTGTGTTGCTGGAAACTTGTATTAAAAAAAAAAGGGTAGTGACCGGCTTGACGGAAAGCCGGCCCAAAATTTCAAACAGTTTTCTTGAAAGGAAAAACGTGTAACATCTGCGCAAAACAAAGCTAAATTATTCAGAGGCCGAGAAGATTCTTTAAACCAGGGGGAGGGAGGTGGGTAAGGGGAGGTGTCCGTCTGGGGGCTAGCCACTGAAAGTTTAGTTGACTCACCACAACATGTTCAACGTTTTTTAAAGTGCAAATTAATGGCCTGTGATCATAACTTTCTATGCAACCACAGGTAGCCCAAGCTCGAAATATGAGCGTCGGCGAACATAGGCATTGTTGCGTAACATTCGAAATATAAGGATTTGCGTGGGAAAAAACCTATCGTTTCCGTAACCTACGAAAATCAAAGGATTTCAATAAAAAACAGCTAAGCTTACTTAAATTGTGTGTTTCGTCTCTCCTGTGCGGTCCACGGGCCGATTTATGGCCGCCTTATGGGTTGTACTGTAAACGGGTTTCCCTCTCTGATAAAGGTTTACCAGGGTTGGGGACTCCAGCGAAGCGGGTCCGACGGATCCACCGAAGTTAAGGAAAACGGCCGTAAATTCGCTCCAACGGCTCCAGTGGCCTCCAAATTGCGCCTAGGTAACACACGACAGTTCTGCTTTCCATTCGTGATCTAGCTTTAAGCAGCCTTTGCACTCAGAGCGAATCAAAGGTCGCCAATCTCTGCAACCTTTCCCATCTGAAGCCATCAGCAGAACCTTGGCTTAAACTCCGCGTTACCGTTGAAAGATAGCGACACGGCCTGAGACTCAAATTACTCACACCCGGGGTGGGAGACAGTCTCTTGCTCTCGTTGTTTTCTTTTTCGGGCATTGATGATGTCAACGGGAACAAGAGATTGTCTCTGCTGGTGGAATCCCGGAATCCTGGGCTTTGAAGTCTAGAATTCAGCCCGAGGAATCCGTTAACGATTAGAATCCGGAATCCAAAGTCCACACACAAGGAGAATCCGGAATCCAAAGGGCGGACCAGAGTTCAAGACAGTCTTAGACTACGAGTAGTCCCCATTATTTCTCAGGGATAGTAGAGCGAGCGAAGCGCGCGTGAAAATCACCCGCCGCGTGACGCCTGTTCTCGCGTGAGGTGATTTTCACGCGCGCTCGCGGAAAAATGAGACTACTCGTAGTCTAAGACTGTCTTGGACTACATTAAATGGGGTCTTGAGACAAATAAATACACTTGTTAATATTAATCAATTTATTGAACAACCCATAGATTGTTGTCTTACAATAAGATCTCTGTCCGGCGCCTTCGAAAGTTGACTCTGGGCCAATGGGTATCTACTCCAAAAGGAAGACAGTTCCATTTACTATGTATCTTTAATTTCTTTTAGCCCGATTATTTAAACACAGGTTTTTCAGTGTATAACTACGCCGCATTATAAACCAGTTTCTCTTTGTTCAAATTTGACTTTCATAACGCTGTCTACTTTTGTTACTAGTGCCAAAAACTGGTATATCCATGGCGCAAACTAGGGAAACGTGTAAGTACTTAAAATCAGCCAGTCGGAAAGATATTTAGAGGTTGACCGATCGTCTTAATAAACCAGCTCTTTAAGTTAGATTTCGTTAAGGTATAATCGGTCCTTAATTCCTCCATAGAAAGAATACTTGAAGTTTAACTGTAGTTCACATGTAAGAACCTAAGATGATATTTGGACGATATAACACTGCGCCTGGAGTTTTTTTAGCAGCTGACCTTGATTACCTGCCTGAACTACGCTCAACGACGCTAAAACATTTTCTTTAAGACTATGAAGTCGAAATCACTAGCACTGTCAAAAGTCCGTAAAAGCTACTTTACGCCTCTCCCTCCCCCTTTACACACACCATCCAGTCTCGGGCTTCCTTAACATGAGGCTTGCGAGCGAGGCTAGGTTTATTCGGTAAATCACCAGAACTCCTTTTTCATTTGAAAATAGTTTTTGTATAACTAAAAACAATAAACAACTCGACTTCAACGAATATCATTCAACCTACAATAGTGTCATGCTGGAAAGGTGATACATTTCGCGGGAAGAACTAGACGATGAGTAAAGCAAGGGTAAAAATTTGTAATAATTATTCTTTTTAGAGACTTTCTTACTTCCAAAATCTTCCCCCGAAATCCTGTCCAGCTCCGGAAGATGATAATAGGCACATTAAGATTCACGTTTTACGCCAAACGGGAAACGTGAATTTGTACCTCGTGACCAAGTTTTTCCCTTAATTGTCGTGTACTGTTTATTACTTCTACTCAAAAATAAGTAGTTTCACGCCAGTGTTATCCATAAGAAATGTTCTGGACAGTTTTTATCTGTTTATTTTCTATTTTGAAAAATTCTCAGCTTAAATCTGACGTTTGCCGTTTGCCGTAAACGTGAATCTTAATCTCTCTAAAGAGAGTTAACGGCAAACGGCAAACGTCAGATTCAATTTCAGAATTTCGCAAACTAGAAAAAAAGGAGATAAAAACAGCTCAAAACAAATTCTTTTGGACAAAAAATTGCGTGAAACTACAAATTTATATCATGTGTAAAAATGATGAACAGTAAACGACAAGTAAAGGGGAAACTTTATCACGTGGTACAAATTCACGTTTGCCGATTGACGTAAACGTGATGCTTAACCTCTCTATTGTCGGATAGGGAAGTGGACAGGAGGGGTGGGGGGTACCTGAGTTGCTGGCTTATTTTTAAAAAAGACAATTATGTACTGAAAGGGAGTTGAGGGCTCGTGGATAGAGGAAGCTTTTTCGATATGTCATAATTTAGGTATTGCCCCTACTGAAGCAAGAGCAAAATGTCATTTCTTTTACAGATTCTCTTACTTCTGGAATCTTCCAACAGTAGCGAACGGGATTAAGCGCAGAGTTCATGTACAACAGCGAGACGGTAAACCATTGAATTGCAAGGAAAGTAGCTCCAAACCCAAGTGACATCCGCGCGGCTACTGAAAACATGAAAGGGAGGTAGCACACAAGAAGGGACGCATACACCCACAGTGCTGTGGAGACGGACTTCTTGAAACGTTTCACATTGAAAGCGTTAGTTGATGCTTCGTCTCCGGGACCATAATTCTGGACTTGGAGCTGAAGAGTCCGCAAACTGCGAAAGATGATGACGTATGAAATGGTGGAGACAGTTACGCACATGACAATTCCAAGGATTTGGAATAAGCTGAAGAGGGCTGGGCTTAGGAATAACGTGAGTGCGTGAGAAGTACTGAAGAACCAGCAGATTGCCAAAATGGCTCGTATACGCGAGATAGTTGCGACCTCTTTGTAGCGCATCTTCAGGCGAATAGCTAGCACTCGATCGACGCTGATAACTGAGAGGGTCTGCAGCGAGACACCGACCGAAATAACACCAGCAACATTGACAATAGTTCCCATTATCCTGCACAAGTCTATAAGTCCTTCTTTTCCCACCAAAAGACGCACAACAAACAGAGGCTGTACAAAGACTCCCACGCTTAGATCAGACAAGGCCAGGCTGCAGTAGAGAGCTTTTGACGCGGTGTGAACTCGAGTGGTCTTTCTCAGAGATGTCAAGATTAAAATGTTGCCTATGACTGTCATGCAGGCCAGAATGGAGTTTATGACTGCGTTAGTAATCAACGAAGGTACCACAATTACTGGAAAATCGTCTTGGTGCGACTGCAGACCACACCAGTCCTGTGGGGCATTTGTGGCTCCTTCGCTGGAAGAATTCTCCATCTCCAGCTTGACTCTTTCTGCGAGTAAAACACAAACCTTATTAATGAGTCTGGCAGATTTTACATTATCTGGCTTTGATATTTTTGACTAAAATAGTAATAATAATACTAACTTAATTTAAGTCTCAAGCCTCTAGCTTAGCACAAGTCTGAAACCAATCGGGGATTATCACAATTTCGATTCATTTGGTCGTATTATATTTGAGGCAACATAAGGAGGTGCTGATCATCAAAACGATTCCTAAACTGATAATTGTTATATTAGTCAGGAACCTATGTTTCACGTGACATATTTACCTTTACGCAGGTTTACCAGCTTACTCATTCCCAACTAACTAGCTAGAGAAGGCGATCGAAGTAAGTTATATAATTATTCAGTTGTATATTCACAGAACACAGGTGACTTTCTACAAGAGAGGAACCTTTAAACGCAACTTTGCGTGATTGTCAAATTTGCCGGATACATTAGACGCTCAGAACTTTACTAAGCTATTTTTTACATCGGATATGCAATATCATGAGTGATGAAAAGTAAGACTTCTTTTAATGCAGGCCTAAATCATTCTGAATTCACGACTTTAATCGTTGCGAAGCAATGCATATTAAGAGCCAAACAACTCACTCCAGACACTATAATGGTCTTTAATAAGCTATTGTCATGTTAAGAACTTAGAAAAACCTTGAATTCCCATCCGTCTATCTACTCTCTCCATAAATACCAAATCCTTCTCTTTCCAGATACATTATCGGACTTGTAGCCAGTCGTTGTTTATATAAAGTCAATGGAAGAAGCGAAGGATTTCAGGAGAAGTAGAGGCCCGCAGGAAGTCATAGGAAACGACGAGGTTCTTTTTTCTAGTCTTATATTCTCCTGAAAAAAGAAAGGAGAAGAAACATACAAATAAAGACTGGATAATCATTTACTTCTTTTTTTCCAGTGATAACGTAATTCCAGAAAGAGGAATACTGCAAACGACGCCGAATGTCGCGTCGTCAACCCCGCGCGGACTTTTTGCAATCAGCCCGCCTCAGTTTTTATTTTTATCTTTCCTCTAACACTAACTTACAGCTGTCTTAGTATTTTACACTCAATAATCGCCTCTGCATTTGATTACAATTTTATTCAAATGATCAAGTCAAGCTGCAAATGACCCTTGAAAGGGAACAATTAATTTGTGCTGTTGAGCACCAACAAATACGATTTGTTTCACAACGTATAGTAGCAATCATGAATAATGGTTTGTCAAATTGAAAGTTCCTTAATGTTTGGAAATTTTAAAACTTTAATGACGGTAAATTATGCTGCTTTAAACAGGATTTTTCAATATTTTTGCTTACTGAAGTCAAAGAATTATGACACAAGTTATTTTTTCGTGTCTTCTGCAAGAAAACAGGGCGCGAAACCAGGCAAAAACTTTGAGGGAACAGCATGAGAAATAAACCCTTTACAGTAAGTGAAAACAAATTGCCCCATATATACAGTACTTGTGATCCGAAAGTTTCGATTGTTAAACTGCACTGAAATTTCCATCTCTATACAGAATCAAAAGAGGACATCTGCGAACTAAATTCGCTTGCCAAATTAACGTTAAAACTGATGCCAAACGTTTATAGTGATCAAATAAAATTAATAACTTTTTCCGTTTGGGAGCGGCATTCGGAATGAAAACCAATTCTGGAACTATAGCGCCAGTCAGGTTAGTTTGGCTAGCACGTGAGCAATAAATACTTATAAGAAAATACACATTTTGGACTTTTGTTTGACCAGCAAACATGCACTTGAGTCAATGGGTCGTTAAAACACGGGTATTAACTGTAATGATGTACTGTTTTTCAATTTCTTACATCTAACCAAAGTCGCATTCATGATACTTGCAGTGACTAGAGTGAAACACTTAGGAAAACGCTCACTTTCATTTCTGTTATTATGCAAAACGTAATGTCCCTTTTTTACTCCATTCGTCTGATTGAAGATCAGTAAGATTGACCCCAGTAAAAATCTTTCGAATTAGATTTCCATGAACTACACAGAGGAGTTTGATGATCTTATCAAAGTAGTTGAAATTAAAACTTAATTCATTAAACAACACGTAAATTTTACGTGCGTTACCTCTAATAGATATATATGCGCGCGTAAAACGCAACCCCTGAGTGGAATTCACTCTTCTGTTTAGCTTATCATATCCCCACAAGAGGCCTTGTAATAAAGTTGGTTCAGTGTCCTAAATACTCTTTAGAAGTTCAGTTTCTAACCGGCGGAGAAGGAAACTGTCTAAACAGGAGGCGGCTTTTTAAGAGGTATAAGGTTTACCAACGCAATCGGTGAGTCGAAATTAACAATACAAAAAGGAAAAATATGTTCTGTTTTTTCCCTTCTTTTAGCTGAGTCTTTTCCACTTTAAGTCAAAGGTTTTTTTCCACTTTACGAGCGTATAACGTAAAATAAACCTGCGTATATAAATAATAGAGGCGGTATGTAAGGTAGCCTGCTAAAGTAAAAGTTGAGCGCGCGAGGTTCAATTTAAGTGTTTACGCGTGAGCTTCCAAACATTGCCTCCATTTTATTTATGTGCCTACGCTCGTAATAAAAATTGAGCGACAGTGGATATCTACCCGCTTAAGGCAGGAAAAAAAACCCAGGTTTTTCTTGGCGAAGTATTTGTCAAGATGCTGACTTGCCTTTTTCCCCTATGGCAGATAGTCAGAATTTACCGGCTTTTCGTGCATATAACACTCATTCCTTTGAGTAAAACATGTTTTAAAACGATGAAAACGGATTGTTTGAGACTCGTTACTTGTTTATGAAACGGAAAGCCGTGTACAAGTTTGTAAAAAGGGAAATGTTACTGCCAAGATCAAAAGAAGAAACTATTTTTTTCCTTTTGGCATATTTGAAATATTAATCATGGCAAAATGGAGGAGCTTTTTTGTGATCGCAGAAATTCCGGACTAAAGCTCAAATCCAAATTCACTGTTATCTACAACAGGGCAAACATGTTGATAAAAACTTTACCTTAATTGTTTGTTCGTCTTCGGTTTGTCTACAGTTGCTTGGCAATTAAAACATCTGCGCGTCCTTTATCTGCGCTTGCCATGGGTGAGCAACGGTGCCAAATGCGTTCAGAACAGGTTTGCCGTTAATGACGCATCTGGCTATTAATAATTTATTTGAGCACAATTTAAACGCCAATCACCCTACTTTGACTGTTAAAATATTATCCCAGTGCAAATGATTTGTAGGTCTGCAAAAGTGATTCTTAACTGAAAAAGCCAGGGAGCATTGTATTGTTTGAAAAGTAACCGGTTTTAATCAAGTACTTATTACTCTCGGAAATTCCTTACTCACATTAGGGAAAATCCACAGAAAGAAACGTACCTTAGTTTTTTAGTAAGCGAAACGTTCAAATCTGATGAACTTGTTAATTCCTACCCGCCCTACGGGGGAGTAGGGCGGATAGAAGAGAACCCTGGGAACAAGGTTGGTACGCCTGCAAGACTACAGTAAGTTGCAACGTGAACAAATTTGAACTGTAAATCAAGTTGAATAAATAAAATGAAAAACAACAACGAACACTGCAACATAAAAATAAATGAGGAAAAAGCGAGGAGACAAAACATCCACGCAACATTGTGTAAAACTGACACTCATAATTGTCTTTTCCCGCGTAACTAATTTTAGTCAAGTCTGGGTTTCAAGTAAATCAATTACTATTAAAACTGGCTATTTTTCAGTATGTCTTATCTTTGCGCAGAAGAAAAACAAGTTGCAGTCTGAAACATTAAATCTTAACTTTCGTATGCAGAGAAGAGAGGTTTAGTCTTTAGCTGGTAATGAAGTGAATTAACTAAACCTTGTCGTAAATGCAGCGATCTGAAAATGAGTTTCAACTCCGCAAACCGCTTCTACAAAGAGAAAAAATTTTAAAAAAATTAAACTATATTCACTAAACAGCTTTTGAACGAGTTATTTTTCATTCGGAGTCGTACGCGGATGAGTCCTGGGTCCCATGCTTCGGCATGAAAACGAGGTTGACAGGACCAACATGGCTGCCGCTCTGGGATTGCCAAGTCATTCTGAACAAACCAAAATGATGTCTTCTTCAGATTATCCAGACTGGCTCACAGCAGAACATAGAACTGGAGTAAGTAAAGATTTTATGATTCTATTTCTTTAAGTGTTTTTTTTTTCTATATAATTTTATTTGACGTCGTGTTTTAGACAACAATCATGGCTGTTGAATTCAATGGCGGCGTGGTGATAGGAGCTGATTCACGTACAACTACTGGGTGAGCTGTTTTTCCTAAATTTTCTTATTTAATTTCATATGTAAGCATTGCATGTAATGTAACACAAGATCGGTATAAATTTAACATTCAAGCGAACTTTTGTTTACATGGGCATGAAAGTGGCAATGTAAGTTGTATTCACCAGCACATGATCGACATCAAACTCTAAATGGGTGATTCCATGTTACGGACATTACTTTCAGATACTAAAATTCATATTTTAAACCCCAATTTAGATGTCAAAATGTTCATTAAGGGTGTTCAAACATATCTAGAAAGTCTTTTTAGTGTTCCCTTTGTACCTAATAAAAAGATGCTTTGGTTAGCTCTTAAGACCTTGAAGGTATGAGTTGAAGAAAGTGTGTTGCGGACATTACAGTTTAAACAACCACTTTTTAAAGTAACTTTCTTTGAAGAGATTTTCCTGTGAATTTTTAACCTTGAGCAGAAAATAATTGTGCCTTCAAAACATAACAATAATTAGATTTTTCAACTGTCCAAAAAAAGTTCCATGCAACCTTGTTCCTGTGATTCTACAAACAAAAGTTTGTGTTGCGGACATTACACAAAATTGTTGCGGACATTACATTTTTGGGAACACATTTTTTGTCATTCCCTTCCTAGTCAGTGTTGCTGACTGTGGCTATGTCCATTTGTTCTGTAGTCACTTGTCTAAAAATGAAGCTGTGAAATTATCATTTACTTTATTTATGATCTATTATAATATTATATGATCTCCTGCTGAGACCTAGTATCATGCAATACCAGTCAGATTTTTTTCTGCTACACTGACTCCTTAAAATAATTTCCAAATTAATATTATTACATCTTAAGTAAATGTTGCGAGAAAAAATGTTCTCAGTAGTGAGGATATTATTTTGCTTTTTACAAAACTGATTTGGCTACTGAAATTATCATATTTTGTCATTCAGTCTGACTTAAAGATAGATAAAATGTAAATTTGCACTAAAATTGCACATTGTTCACTACACATTATATAACAAATTATTGTTAAAAAAATAATACCCATTCAAGTTTGTGAAAGAAACAATGAAGGTTAGTGCTTTTCCTCAAAAAGCATGCTTACAAACTGTTCTGAGCATTCTCAGCAGTACAAAACCCCTGACCAGCTACTCATTGGCCATTTTGGAGTTGCATAGGGAACTGGGGCAAGTTTCAAACTTAAACTAATCGATAAACTGACACCACCATATAAAAGGTCATGTTGAGATTGGTTGCTTGAGCAGGTTTGGTGCTCTAAAGTTGAACAGGGATCAAGTTATGACTCTTGAAACACAGTTAAAGATCCATACAAATGTCACTCTGTAATTTTGTGACAGCATCCCCCAAAACCATATAAACTCTTTAAAATATTTTTCTGTTTTTCTGTTAAAGTACTGCAAAATTCGTCATGCATCTATACTACTTTATGGAAGGAACTAATTTGAAAATCACTATGTTTGCCCATTTTCAAGAATATCACAGAAATCGTAAATTATTTAGAATGTTTTTAATAGTTTGTAAATTAAATTCATTGGACATTACGGAAAAGCTACCAGCTCTTTTTAATTTGCCATTTACATTTGTACATCAATAAAAAGCAATTTAGTGTTAAGTGGGCTGTTGTCTGAATCTAATTCAGAGATAGTAAGAACTAAATATCCACAACAGCCTGAATAAATGAAAAATCTAACATGTGTAATGTCCACAACGTAATGTCCACAACACTTTTCAACGTATAATTTCTGAGCAAAGAAAACCCACCCAGGAAATGTTTTGAGATTAAAATAGAGTATACATCAGACTAACTGAGCAGCATCAATAGCACATGAAAATACAGCACACTGTGTACAGGAACTGAAAAAAGATACCTTAACGTTGCGGACATTACGTAATGTCCGCAACAAAAATTCAATGTCAATTTTCTTGGGAAAGTGCCAGTAGCTGGATAATAATTTATAGCCTAATGATAGTGTAAGGCAAAGGTTATAATACACACATACTTTTATGTTAACTGTATGTTTTCTTAGATGTTAAAACTTTGTTTAAAATTTCCTTCCAAAAATTCCAAATATAATGAGATTCAAATTCTCTGGATTTCATGCCTTCTCACATTAAGCACATGGACATGACGCACAAGATCTCAGTAATTTCAAACAGCCCATTGTTTCAGCTTTCTGTTGGTTAAGTTTCATTGTGCCAAATTTTATTTTAAAAAATTCAAAATTTCATTGTCTCATGTGGAATTGCCCAAATCTTGAATTTCCCCAGAACTGATTATTTTACATAAGGGCTCATTCTCTAACCTACTTCTAAACGAACAAAGGAACATTTTTCTTCTTCTTGGTTGTTACCTCTCAGAGGCAACAAACCCTTCTTCCTCTTGAAAGAGCACATAATTAGAAAACTTGACAAGATTTATTAGTAGTGAGTAAACGCAACAGGACATCAGGAAGAAGACGACAGCAAAACGCTTGTGCATAACAAACGTGATGGACCTGTTACTTGCGTGTTGTGTTGTGATCTTCACTTAACAGTAATGTTTTCTAGTCTTTTACAAAAAGATCTGTTTTAAGCAAAGTGAAAGTTTGGTGAAAATTATTTCAAACAAAATTATTGTCACCCTTGTCACACATTGTTGTCTTCTCTGCTGTCCTGTCCTGTTGCATAAGTATGATATGTCAGAGACGGTAACAGGTTGTTTTGCCTGAAAGTCGATTGACCCGATTTTATTTTGCCTGGACATAAGTCCATTTGCCTGATGTTTAAACGTACATGTGTAGGTCTTTAAAGGGACTATGTCACCCAACATGCATGCGCGAGCCAATGAAAACAAACTTGAAAAAGACAGCCCAACTTTTTCAAGTTGTGTCGGAGATTTTGGAAGGCTGTTTTTATAGCCCCTTTAAGCCTGATTAGAGGAATAAACATGAAAAGACAGTGACTTCACATGTGGATCAACAAGCATTAATTTTTTCCCGTGAAAATTTCACACAAAACATATCAAAGATCGACGTGCACTCACTAAGGTACATGTAGACTTCATGGACATGTACATGTAGCATTAAGTGTTTTCTTTCTTTTAATTTTACAGGGCTTACATTGCAAACCGAGTGACAGACAAGTTAACCCCAATCACAGACAGAGTTTTCTGCTGCCGTTCGGGATCTGCTGCTGCCACACAAGCTATAGCTGATGTGGTTAAATATCATTTGAACTTCTTAAGGTGGGTGATTGATATTAATGGTAGGATTACTGTACAGCCCAACTTTATTGTGCATGCACAAACAAACCTATTACATCTGAGTCAGCACTGCAGTATGTTTCCACCTGAGCTCTGAAGACCTACACATTAGGAGCAGGCCAATTTGTTGAGTTAATGTTAACCCGTGAAAGGAATGAAACATGGAATAAAGATGATATCAACCGCAGAAAATACAAATGTAGTATTTTTTTTTTTGACACTGCTCCTTTTTTTCCGCTAAAATGTCTTTTTCCAAAGCTGTTGTGAAATGTGCCACCATATTGACCCCTGTCCCATAACAGTGAGTGTCCAACTCTGTCGCTAGTGAAAACCAGCCTTAACCCTTTATAGTTTAAACTCAAAGATCAAACTTTGAATTCTCATTTGTTGCCTCTATTCATTTCCTACAGAAGTAGTGGAGAGAAGTTGATAAATTATTATCAAGCAAACTCATCTGATTATGTCCGTAATTCTGATGACCACTCTGTTTTACAAAGCATTGATATTACAAGGAGAAATTTCATGCTGGTCACTGTTTGGGCTTAAAGGGTTAAGGGGAGGGGAGGGGTGCTTGTTAACTTTCTTTCCCTGAAAGCAGGGCTGTCAAAAAGTTTTTAAGTAGCAGGCTGATAATTAATAGTAGGTGGCTTTGGAACTCACACTAAAGGCACAAGTTTCTTAGGGCTGAGGCATCTAGGAACATTTTGAAATTTAGAGTCTCAAAAATCCTGTTTCCAGGGGTTCTCAAGGGGTATTGTCCACTTTGGGCGCCATGTTGTTTCGCCCTTAAAATGTCCCGGACATTCCTCGACATTCACACGGTACAAACGTTTCACAGATCTAAACCTCTTTAAATATGCGTTTAATGTCATTCAAAACTGGGAAACAGATGCTTTACAATTTTATTCGATGGTGCTTATTTTTTGTTAGCAGTTATGGTAGAAGGAGATGAAAGTAGCCGGCTAATGATGGCTAACTAGCCAGGGAAAGGGAGGCTTATTTGAGAAGGGGATCAATAGAGGATTTAGGGTATTCCAAGAGCAATAACATTCAGAAACAAATGGTTGTAATTTGTGCTCATTGATGCTTCTTATTATATAATTTTTTGTAGTATTGAGATGGGAGAACAGGCTCTTGTAAAGACTGTTGCAAATGTGTTCCGTGAGATTTGTTATGCGAACCGTGATCAAATGACAGCAGGTATCATCTGTGCGGGATGGGACAAGAGACAAGGAGGACAAGTAATATGATTTGAAAATCTTTTAAATTTATTCTCTATTGGATTTGTCACATTTTTGCAACTTATAGAAACACTGGACATTCTCCCACATTCAGTTGTTGAAAGCTGTTCATGTACATGTATCAGAGAAAAAAAATTATTGTACATTAGGACTTCAACCCGATCAAAGTGTGTAATTCATCAGATATGCAGAAATTATTCTACGTATGCACAGATACAGCTTTAAGAGCCAACGTTACTGTTTGGTAGCAACAAAATGCAGACCTCTTGCAGAAGGTATCGGGTTTTCGATAAAAAGAGCAAATCAATCAAACCAGTTTTGAAGTTGCAAAGTGAGGTGATGTTAAAGCAGTGACTTTTGATTGAAATTAACAATTATTTTGTTCCTTACTACTTTGAATTGCACTTTGTAGCAAAATCCAAAACTATTACATAAAACATAATTTTTCTATCTATGAGCTGTGGATCTTTGGGTCAGAGAAGGATTTCTGTATGGCTCAATCTGTCTTATATTTTGTATTACAGTGTAGGCTGAGAAAACCATGTGTCAACAAATTTCAACAATCCATATAATTTATATCTAGATTTCCCAATTGAATGCACCCATAATCCCTTGATGGAAGGGATACATGTACTTCTCAGGGCGAAATGAAAAGAAAAAAATTGATTGCCCTTCACCCAAGCTGTTGCCGAAGTTTACTTGCACTGAGCAGGCATACTAACCCTCCTTCTCACCTACAGTAACATTAAATGTATCTCTCTCGGTAAATGTTGCTTACCTGTCAGACAACCTGTAAATATTAAAGACATGCTTGTCCGATTGGTTGCTCCACTAGCGCTGTCACTCCATGGTTAATTTACATTATTGTAACTTCATTTGAAAAAAAAACTTCTCAAAAATAAACATGTAACAAAGGAGGCCTTTTTTTCACTATTGTTTTTGTGATATTACCTTGTACTTTATTTCTGGTACATGTAAATGTGCCTTCACACTTGTGCAATTTTATCGGCAGGTTTTCTCAATTCCTCTTGGTGGAATGTGTGTGAGACAGCCATTTGCTATAGGAGGTGAGGATGCTACCAAATTCAGATGGAAAAAGCACTTTTTGAACAATATTTTTTGAAGGGTCATTTACCTACATGGGCATGACTTTTAATAATGATATTTAATAATAATTGTTAGTAAAATAATGGTCAATACAAAGCCCTCACTAACTCAGTGGTTTCACAATTTGGTGGTCACATTGGAAGTTGCATTTTCATGTAAATGTACCAGCTACATGTAGATATTCAAATTAAGCCTGTACAGCTGATGAGATTGTTATGCACATGATACTCTCTTGTAGCCTCCCACGCAGGCGTTTTTAGGGGAGCTCGTATTTCTTCCCTCCCCACAAACGCCTGCTCAACAGAGGACAACATTCCTTTCCCACGCTTAGCCTATCACGTTGTACTTTCCAAATTCTGGAAAGTTGACCTTGACCGCAGGGTAACCCGATAATCACGCGATCTGCATGATTAAGAAACCTTCATGAGCTCTAATAAATGTTAGTCTCAGAGCGGCAAAAGTAAGATTTACTCAGTCAGATTTTAGAATTCTCTGTGCACTGCATAACCTTAGCGAACAAAAGAAAAGAAGGAAAAAGGTAACTCTAGGGTCACGTTCTGGGTCACGATTTTTCACTATCACGAGCTTATGATGTCATGTTTAGCCTGTCAACACTTTATTTAAAAACCGTTGATTGGTCACTTACCACGCGAATGCATCAATGGGAAAGGAATGTTGTCCTCTGTTGAGCAGGCGTTTGTGGGGAGGGAAGAAATACGAGCTCCCCTAAAAGCGCCTGCGTGGGAGGCTAACTCTCTTGGGGCAGCGACACAAATGCCATGCAAAGTGAGCCGCAAAACTGCATGGAAGATCAAATTGACTTGCCCCAAATCTTCATGTGTCTCCGCCACCAATAGTTCAGCAGTAGTGGTTATGTACTAACAGCCTTTGCGTGCAACTCCCACTAGCTACACAGGTTATACAAAATAAAATTTTATCATGTGTGCAAGATCAGCTTAGCTTTTAGCTGATTCTATTATAATATCTATGTTCTGTTAAGTAATTGGGCTTTTTCCTGTAAGTAACTCTGTCACGCAATTTTAGGCTTTATACTGTAAATAAGTTTTTGGATTTCCCTTTCTTTCTCTACTATGTTATTTATTTGTTTTGTTTTCTTTGCTTTTTTCTCCCTCCGCTTATTAGCATATTTTTGCTAGAGGTCTAACCAAGCTCAAACCCAAGATTAAATAAAGCTTCATTCTTCATTCATTCATTCATTGTTTGGTTGGAGGAAAAATATATTTATTATGTTTATTTGTGCTTTGGTTAAAAATTGTATTTTTGTTGTAGGTTCTGGAAGTACTTATATTTATGGCCATTGTGATGCTACTTATAAACCTGGCATGACAAAAGAGGAATGCTTCGCATTTGTCTCAAAGGGTTTGTTTTTTTCTTAATAATATTAAATAGCAAAAAAGTAAAATACAGGCACAATAACTGTTACTTTACTGAACTCCTTTCCATTATTGATGGTCCCTACCAGGGTGTGATACAGCTAATAACACAGTTAGAGAAAAAGACATAGAGGATATTACATGGCCACGTGGAGATACAAAATTTCTCTTCAAGTGTTGAAAAATATTCGAGTGAAATTTTTTTTTCAACACGAGAAGAGAAATTTCGTATCTCCAAGCGGGCATGTAATGTTCTATGTATTATATAAACACCAATGAAAATACCAAACCATTTCACTTTAATAGTTTTTTGGTGTGAAAGGCGCAATTTATTATGTATCTATAGCAAAGGTGATATTTTCGCACGAAAGGTCACCTGGTATTTCATTAGTGTCTATATAATAAATGTGCATTATTTTTGTATTTACATTAATTGTGCACAATTATTGGTGTGATGTTTTTTCCCTAACTTCAATTACATGTACATGCATGAGAAAGAATTTATTATTTCCAATTAGTGCTACCATTTATTTTATTTATTTGCTTTCTCTTTAGTTACTTTCTCTTTGCCGACTTTATAGGAGAAAATTATTGTATTGTTACCCACCTAGAATAGCTCCGCTAATTGTGGGTAACATAGTCTTAAATTATTTGAAAAATAATTAATTGAATAAACTATTTTTGCGAATTTTGACAATTGCTTTTACAGGGACACTCAAAAATTATTAGGGAAAGAGTCAGGGGGACCTTTATCTGCTCAGAAAAACCACTGACAGATAATAATGTGAAGGTAAATAGTTGGTGGTGGGGGGGGGAGGTAACTTTGGAATAAAATTTTTTTCATGCTGGTAACCCTCGGTTTAGTCTACAGATACTAAGATGGGACTTCCTCATTTTTGGGGTGGGTGGGGAGGGGCAGTTCCCCAGACTCCCCCTCTGGTGTCACCACTGGTTAAATCATGGCCTGCATGGTCATTTTTGCCAACACACTTGTTCCTCTCCTACTGAATACCCTTTGTAAATAAACCTTTACTGTGTTCCTTTCAGCTGTGGCTCTTGCCATGTCACGTGATGGTTCTTCAGGTGGAATTGTGCGTTTAGCTGCCATAGACGAATCCGGCATTGAAAGGAGAGTTATTCTGGGAAATGAACTCCCAACATTCTACGAGGGATGAAAAGTTGACAGTGAATCGTTTTTTCTTTCTTTCTGTATTTTTTCTTTCTTTCTGTCTTTTGAAATTTAATCACTGTATGCTATCTCTGTACAACAGAAATAAAGTTTCGTTCGATGGCACTGTTAAGGTAAAGTCTTTGGTTTGCTTTATGTAAGCTTGTGGTTTACAGGTTTTAATTAATTTTTACAACCAACACGAGTTAGATAGTTTCATGCGATTTCCAAACGCGGAGAAGAAAGGTTAAAAAGCGAGGCAGTCGAGTTTTTATGCCTCTTTTTAATGAATCTTGGTTTTTTATTAACACTTATTCACATTTTGTACTGATTCTGGTGTGGCAGGTATTGAACATTGAATTCATGCACATAGCCAAACCATAAAGTTGCATGTCAGTGACATCATTACTGGTAGCTTTTATGCTGTATATTTTGTAGAGAAACCAATCAGCTTCACTAAACTAACTCGGATTTTAGTACGTTGTCATCTGACTCGTCTCCAGTTGTCTCTAAGTTGTCTCTACTCATTAATTACTTCGTTAAAGAGCCCGTTCTAGTCTTCCACGCCAAATACTCATAATGAGAGATGACTGGGGACAAGTCAGCGTTGTCATAGATAACAAGTGGCTGGCGGTAAAGTAAATTCGTTTGAGATCATTGTACGTTTCTGGGAAACTGCCCACCTACCCCTCCCCTAAGCCAACATTTTGCCCTAAGTGAGAAGTGAGTGTTTATGTTGGCTTAGGGGAGAGGTAGGTGGGGAGTTTCTCAGAAACGTATAATAAGTTAGCATCATCTTTCAAAAGTAATTAAGTCATAGTAGCCAGCAAGTACCCCAATCTGTCCTTGTTCCTCGCTGCTACAGGGGCGGATCCAGGATTTTTTTTAGGAGGGGGTGCAGTCGTCTCTTGCTCTACTCCAACACCAATAAACCACATAGTTTTTTGTGTGTGTGCAGAATACCAGTTGTATTAGAAAAGCGCAGGTCATCTCAGGAGAGGGGGGTGCGCACCCCCTGCACCCTCCCCCTAGATCCGCCCCTGTGCTAAGATGTTTTGCGGGAGAGATTTCGTTCGCCTTAGGGCGAAGAAACGGTTGTATTAAGGTTGCATCACGCGGATTATCCCTCTCTTAAATCTATTGCAAGCCTGCCCATACAGCTCCGATTCAAATTGTAAGCTTTTTTAATGTAGTCAGCAGATTTTCCTTAAGTATTCATTAAATGAATTTTTTGTTTTTGCTGGTAACACATGTCGAAATTTAAAACGATTTTTCAGAACGAAAAAAAGTTTTTTCATCGTTCTGAGTAAATATTTGACAATCTCTGACTCTTTTTGCAAATTGAAATGGTTTCGAAAACTTCTTGTTGAAATAGCTGAACAATTTTTTGTGCTACCGTAAACATGAGAATTATATCACACATAAACAGTACCGTCAAATTTACAAAAATATAGTAGGTAAAATCATGGAAACGGTAAGTTCAATCAAACCGAGAATCAGAATTCAATTAAACTGAATTATTACAACGGCTTTTGTTTCAGAGTGATTGCTTCATGTGTTAGTTTTCTTTATTTGGTTTTCATTAACACAAGAAGAAAAGAGAGGATTACTTTCGGAAATTTAAACAGCCTGAAATACTTCAAGAGGCGTAACTGTTTGCTAAGGTAACTTAAAAGGACAAGCGACATATTGTGCTAGTTGTTTTCTGTAAGAGTTGAACTGTGAGGCAACAGAGAAACATCACCAACTCTATAAAACCAGGGGGATCAACTTTCAAGAGGTGCTGTACCGACTTAAATTTCATTTTCAATTTTAAGCTGTAACAGGCGATAGTTCTCTTTGTCAAGACTAAAAACAGTACTCACTTACACTTAAATGTAGGCCGAATTTAAAAAATTGAACCGCGATATTGAACAAAGTTTAGCACTAGCGTTCATTTTAGCGGCGGTTTTCAATAGACTTAGTGGGCCGCTTTCTTTAGAAAAGCACTTTTAAGTACCCAGTTCATTAGATAGTTACTTTGTACTAGAAATATTTGAAAAACGACAACCAGTTTAAAACGAATAACTGACACAGCGCGTGTTCCCTTCCAATTCAGAACGATAAATCTTTAAATTTATTAGTAGTTTTGACTACAACGTCCTGGTACATAACCAAGACTACAAGCAAAAGGTGCGAGACACGCATGCACTTCCCTCACTAAGAAAAACTAAGAGATTGTTCGCCGTCTTGGTACAACCAAGCAGGGATGCTATCTTCCTTCGTGCCTGCCAACTTTGGCAAGCGTCGAGTCACGTTTTGGTCACTGGAGACCAAAGAGATACGATGGTATAAAACTTGATCCAACCTAAATTTGCCTTGCGTTTGAAAAACTGATATCAGAAGGGTATACAACATAGCTGAGACTGAAAATGATAAAATAACTAAATAACCATTTGATGGTCAAGCTGGAGCGGAATCTCAATATGAAAGAGGTTGGATGCTCGGCGCCTCTTCTGGACGTTTAAATGGCATAATTTTGTTTCATTTGGGGTGTTAAAGGATGGGATGACCTATACAGGTATTGAATCAGGACTGCTTAAATCTGTGCGTGAAGTAACACTGAAGCAGAAAAAACGTTTAACCCCAAGGTCTTCATAAATCTAGATTAAATATACTACAGTCTAGTTTATGGCTGTTATTTTGCTTCACGGTAAAAAAGCACGAGCAAAAAAGGTATTCAGTTTGAAGTCAAATAAAGCTTGGATCACGCCCAGATCGGGATTTATCATTTGTTTAATTCCATTTTTTTGGACAAGCTTCCCCACCCTTGTCACATAGTAGGCCTGACCCCAGGCAGACAGACGTCCATTAATGTTTTTAACAATATTATCAACAATCAGTCGTTTATATACACTTTCAAATTTCTTCCGGTATTTTTTAAATAGTTTTTTTGACATTTCATTCGGAGCTGTGCAATTTGCCAACAATGCCACCAACCGTATCTTCAACTCGTGGTAAGATATGGGAATTACAAATTGTCATAGGAGTATTCATTTAAAGAAATTGTTTAAAAGTATGTTCCAAAATTGTTCCAAAAAAAATTTAATCTCATCAATTTATGGCACCACACGACGTAAGTGTAATATAATGAGATGGAATAACTTTCGAGGTAAGCAATCAGAAATAAAGCAGTTATCGCTTAATCAGTATTTATCATTTCCAACAATTTTTGTAATTTTTTTCAAAACCAAGACGCTGTCTTTGTTGGAAAAAGTGTTCTTCTAATTCTGCAATACTTTTTTTAAAAAATCAGTTGGTGTTGCACGCTAGACTTACGGTAGACACCTAGACAGGTAACTCTCCAACATTTCCGACAGCTAGATTTATTACGAAAGAAAATTGAAAATTAACGGTTTTATGTCAGTTTATTTGCATAGCTGAGAGTGGCAAAATTGACTTAGTTACCTGACATGATTGTCCAAAGAACTAGAAAATACAGAGACATTTTTTATTCTTACTTATTACCCAAAAGGTTAACTCATCATAAGGTAAAAGATCTTTGCTTCTTTACTGCTTTGCTGGAGATAACAAAACAAATTAGTTTGATCGGATGAAACGTTCATTTGCCTGCTTGAAGCTAACTAGACTTTCAAAAAAGTCCTTCGTCGGATTTCATGAAACCTGAAACCCCAAATGCGAGTCACGCCACTCCCCATTTTTGGCGCGAAATGCAAAGGGAAACCCATCAAGCGAGACAAGTCGACCCCTCGCGACTTCGTCGCTCGCGGTCGGTCGCTTCGCGGCCAAACAAGGCTCGCTCCGCTCGCCAAGAGGTCGACTTGTAGCAAGTCTAGAAGCTAACGTTTTAGGGCCGCTCTTTGTCAAGCCTACAGCATTTGCCAATGTAAGGAAATTTTTTAAGTTTTTTATGTTTTATGGTTCTGAGGAGTTTTTATTTCTGTTCAAAGGTAAAATGTACTGGGTATGCCCGCTGGTTTTCGCAGTGATCCTAAAATGTACATCCGCTGGCCAAACCATCCGTGGCAGCGCTGTACTGGAACACGACTGGGCCGAGGCCTTTAAGCTAATAATAAACGTCCCAATGCAATACTCAGTTCCTGACGGCTGGAGAATGGCCTTAATATTTTCGCAGCCAATCAGAAAGGTCGAAGTTTGGCGCGCCATAGAATTAAAAGAGAAAACGTCTGCCGACAAGAAGACCCACGCCTTGAAAAACATGTATTTTAATACACGTTTGGCGAAGGGGGAAATTTTGACCATGGCTGTGGTGGCTTACAAAGTCAAGCTTAACTCAAAACCCGGCAATGTCACAGTTCTGTTTAAAGGAGGAAATGTCATTCCAGCCCTCCCTACTCTACCCCCGGTAAGTTGAAAAATGACAATCAAAGTAGGCAAGCAATGTAGAATTCTAGTTTTAAAAGACATCAATATTTCAAAAATCATCTTAAGTTGTGTCCGATTGATCGTATTCCGGAATAGGGATACTTAAAAAGTTTTGGTACAAACCTCTTCTACCGTAATTTTTGGACCACTTAAAGCAGATTTTTAGATACTGCAAAGCACTGAATGCCAAAGAGTTTATTCCATTAATATTTATTCATATTCCCGACACGGTCAATCGAACACGCCTTAATAGTGACTAATGTCAATTTTCTCCTAACGATATCCATACAATGTCAAGAGATTAGGTTATGAGAATTAATAAAATGATCACCTGAGGGAAAATGCCTTGATCTTTCATCAAATTCCCTCAACTTATTCTTGAAGAATATGTGTAGAAATCAGTTTGGAGAATTTGTATGTGGATACTGGGGCTTAAAGGGTTAATAGGGGAGCTCCACGAGCGCGAGCGCAGTCCTGTAGCTAAAAAAATCGCTTATATATCCATCCAAGAAATTTTGGTAGCCATGTGACCGTATGTCCAACCGGCCGCCCGTCTGTCAAAGATTGTACTGAGTTTTCCTTCTTTGGGGCAAACAGAACTGACCAACAAAAAGTTGTCCATAGAAGACAAGAGGTTTAACGGATGAACGTGATATCTTTCATTCTAGTGCGTAATTTTTTGCACATTTCCTAATTGAAATAGTACGGAATATTTTAAAGAACGTTATTTTTTTTAAAAAAAGTTCTCGTTAAGAGTATCGTTCATTAAAATGGGCTCTTTTGGCTGTCCCTGTATACGTCTGTCTGCCCGTCCGTCTATCTGCCTGCCTGTCTGTCTGTCTGTCCATCTGTCTGTCTGTGAGTCAGTCGGTCTGTCTGTTAGTCAACCAGTCTCTCTGTCTGCCTGTCCGTCTGTCAGTCGGTCTGTGTCTCTGGACCAAGGATTAACACAGTCAGTTAGTCCGGGGTGTTTGATTCACAGGTGTGACATCGATCCTTGTTTTTGGCTTCTTTCCTTTCCGGTTTGGCCTCAGGTTATTCAGTGTACTGTGTGCTATTACGAGTTACCGAACTTTCACCACACCCTTGTTCGGAAACTCCAGTTGGTGTAAAAACTTGCTTAGACTTTAGAAGTAAGGGCTAGAGCAACTGACTGAGAAAAATGTATATTACGTTTTTCCCTCAGCCAACGCCTCCTGAGCCACAGGTACTGATTCATCCACTGAAACCAATTGATGAGTCCGACTCAGGCTTCAAAATGATTCTTAAATATCAAGTGCCCGAGGCCGTGAAATACTGGAGCATATCTCTCAAGTTCACCAAAGATATCAGCACTCGTAATTTTAATATCGATAAGGCGAAAGTGGTTCCTCAGAAAGAACCGACCAGTGACAGCTTTTGTTTAGGACCACAACCTTACAACAGGAAACTGAATGCGAAATGTGTTCTGCGACTTGAGTTCAACTGTCATAAGGCGCAACTGTATGAAGCTGCGCCTAACGCGTTCTTTGTGTTTCATCCCAATTCAACCAAGTGCGAAGACTTCGATCTACCAAAGCCTGGACCAGCAGTTCCAAAGGAGAGCGCAGTCGCAGAGATCATTCAGCAGTGGCCGCCGAACAACTTTAAAATGAGGTTCAATCTTCAGGTTATCAATTCTGTCCGTGGTGGCTGGAAAATTGCTGTCAAATTTTCCAAACCGGTGGCAGAAATCTCCAACATAAATAAAGCAAGATTTGCGAGCAGGTCCCAAGATAGGCACACCTTCTACATCGAGAATGTCCCAGGCCAGATTCAGAATGCCAATTTGAAACAATGCGAAAGAATCAACGTTGAGTTTGCTGGAAAACTGCTGTCCACACCTGCAAAAAAGCCATTGTCTGCTTTTGTGTTGTTTGAACGAAAGGAGCCCGAATACGCTGAGATCAATCCTCAAGGGGCTTGTCCCACAGTACCCCAGTTAGGGTGAATCGATAACCGATGGCATCTAAATCTCAAACAATAGTGCTTAGTAATGAGGTAAACTTAAAAGGTGAAAACTGACAGCAAATAAAATGTGCTTTATGCTACCTAGTGTACGTTAAGAGGATTATTCAACCGGTTTCTCAACTGTCAACCTCGTCCCCAGGGCCTTTCACTTAGAAAATGGAAGGGAGAGCCCTGGGACGAGGTTGCTCAAATGTTTCCGTAGGTAGGTAAAGGCGCAAATGAGTCAAGAGCCCAAACGGAAGGAGCTTATCCCGGTTTTCTTAGCATGAAACATGCCTCGGAGTATTGCTACCTCCCCCCTGGACGGAATGCTAGTCCTTCGCAGGGTTACCCTCTAGCCGGTACTCATTTATGCCCCTGGGTTAAGAGAGAGAAAGTGGTGAAAAGTTCCTTGTCTAACGAAACAAAGCGACGGGCGAGGCTTGAGTCCCGGAACTCCAGATCCGGAGTTTGAGGTGTTAGCTCCTCTGTCACACACGCCTCAACTGGGCTCACCGAAACATCTATTTCCGGATTCAGATATTTTGGCTCGAGAAATGGTAAAATATTCCTGAACAATTATTGGATGAAATTTTGTGACATCCAATAGTTATTTTATTATACACTATTTCTGTCCCACGGAACACACACCCAGTTTGACATTGCCCCCAGAAATCATACAGTGCGCTTGCAAACTACAGATTACCCAATTATCTACTAGAAGAAAATTGACAAATCAGTCCTGTAGGTTGCGCTTATTTCCAGAATTAACCGTAGGGTCCTTAATTTACCTGAGATGGCGTTGTGTTTTGTTCACAGATTTTATTCTTCAGTGCGACTGTAGCTTTCCGGACAATTTTTTTTGTCACTGGCCGATTTCAAGTCGGATTCGTCCAGAACAAATCTGAAATTGCCCTCTAGTGCGACTTGGCCCTTAGTCAATGAAAAGACAGATGATGAATACTTATTAAAACGAATTTCCGGCTTCCCGCTTCGTCGTGCGTGTTGGCCTCTCCCCAGCCTTTTCTCAAAACTTCAAAATACACTGGCATGCACGCATGCACTGGTACAGTGGTATGGCCTATACAGGAGCGTAGCCAGCCTATAGACCGGCTATAAAGCAGGACCTACAACACTTTACGACCTTTACCGCTTGTAATAAATTATGTGTTGTTGGGGTGAGCCAAAAATCTTAAGCGGACACCGTATTAAGGGGTCACCCTCTATTAAGCGAACAGTAGCCGAGGTTTCCAAATTTATTTCCCTTATTTACTTTATATGAAACCTTTATTAAGTGGACACCTCTATTAAGCGGACACGGACACCTAAAAAGTACCTGAAATGGTCATTTCTACTGTTAGAGTATTTTAAAAACGGTCACTTGTAATTAATTCCACCACCCAACATGCCAGACACCGGAAATGCGAAAGATTGCCACCCACAAATTTTTCGATTCTTAAATTAAAAAACGTGACTTTTTGAAAGTTTTCTTTTGAGGTATTTGTTCTGAGTGATCGGAGGGCAACTGATAGAGAACCAACTTCTTCTAAGACAGATCTACAAAGAACCTCTAATTATATCGTACAAACCAGGAAGGTCTCTGAAAGATATACTCGTAAGAATTAAAGGTTATACTGAAACACGTGGGTGGAAAGCGTGAGGTCAGGCTTCTCTTTATCATGTGATATGTTGCAATTTATTGCGCGATAAACTGACTAATTATCGCACGATAAATGTCATATCCCTTACGGGCCACCGTACAAAACACTTTAGTGGTTTACACAAACAGATAAAAGCAACAATAAAGCACACACACTTCGATCAAATTAGCGAACAATAGCGATAGTAGCTTAGCGTTTTGTCCTTCTTGACCTCCGTTGTTCTCTCGTCGATGGCGTCAAACGCTAATCTGTAGAAGTGACGCATACGCGTTACATTGTGACGTCACACTAGCACGCGGAATGGATCAAAAAACGTCGTGCACGTACGCACCAAAGAGAACACAAAACACTGGCAATAAAAGGTTTTCAAGATAAAAACATCGAGACCGTGTTAAAGCGACCAGCATTTTGTCAGGGAGAACTTCATGAAAAATAGGAGCTGAATTTCTTTTGTAAAGACTGTAAGGTCGCCATTGCTGTTCACGAAGGAGGCCCTGCCAGGGTAAATTCCGACAAGCGACATGGCCCAAAAAGTAGCAGAGCCTAAAATGAAATCGCGACAAGCGACAAGCTCCTTCGGCCAAATTGCGACAGTGACGGCAAAGCCGAGAATATGCGACAAAGAACGGTGGTTTGGCTAATTTATCACCAGTCTGAATGCCAAGAAGAAGTAATTTTTGTTAATTTTCCTTGCGCTTCAGAGATTGTCTCTCGTCAGGGAGTTTCAGTGGACCATCCTGAGAGCGTCGCGTTGGCCCGTCGCGTATTCATTTACGCTACCCCGCACAACTCCTGGGAGACCTTGGAACTAGGTGGTCCGTCAAATAGCTTAACTTTACGCACGCTTTACATTTCTTGAAATCACTGCTTTCATATAGACCATAATGCACCTTGTTTTGCCCCTCAGCATTTTGCATAACCATTGTTTCCAATTTCTCCTGGGTATTACAGTCGTCCCAAGAGAAATCGAAAACAATGGTTATGCAAAGTTTTGGGGAGGTAAACAAGATGCATTATGGTCTATGTGAAAATGGTGAATACTTTGCTTGTTCCTGAACTTCTCACATCCTTGTCGACCTCTGCCCGACGGTGACAACGGTGGAGAGACCAGGGACCAGGTAACTTAACCAGCGACATTCCAACCGCTCTCACAGAGTAGACCACCGTTAACCGGCCTTCACGTTGAACGTGCATCACTTGGGGTGTGTTCACAGTGTTCCTTTAAGCGAATCCAAAAACGGATTTCTGATCCGAGATTTGCCGGATTTCGCGGTCGAAAGGAACGTGTGAGCGACAAATGGTCAGCACATAGATATTTTACTGTACCACTATGAACAATCTTCTAGTGTTTTCAGATGTTTTACGGCAAATGGCAGCAATTAGGAAACTCTACGGGAAATACAGCTGGATCATCTGACTAATTTCGAATCCACTATGAATGGAACAGCGTAGATCACTAATCCGTTAATCTGGATTCGGATTCTTCGGATTTCAAATCCAATGTGAATCCTTTTCCTTTTTCAAAAAGGATTCACCAGATCAAAAATCCGTTTTTGGATTCACCGAAAGGAACACACCCTTAATTGTGAATGGCGATGTATAGGTGTTCTATACGCGAAAGGTTAACTGAGAAATTGCACAACTGTAATGGTTTCTTTACAACGCATCGCTATCCCCCTTTTCTAAAATTCCGACAAAGACAAAGAATTTTCGTTCAATTTCCGACACCGACGTGAAGCATTAATAAACACCGACACGAGACGTTTTAAAATTCAGACGAGCGACATGGGAGCCCCCCCTGGCAGGGCCTCACGAAGGTCACGGCAAAATGCAAGAAGCTACAAATGCCCGCAAGACACAGTTAAATTACATGATTAAATCCTTAAAAGATAAAGCACTGGAAAAACGAAAGGAAGTCGAGCAATTCAACCAAAAGAAGATAGAAGTTCAAGCTCAAGTAGCCGACGTAAAAAGCCAAGTGCAGACGAATGTAGACCAAATGACTGCAATCATCGAAGCGAGGAAACAAGATGTTTTTGATGCGGTCGATAATCAAGCAAAAAAATCACTTGAAACACTCTCACAGAAAAAAGGCGAAGCTGAAAATCAAGTGAAAAAAATTGAATCAGCAATTGAACAAACTGAATCTCTGATGAAACGAAACCTTAATGCAGAAATCCTTGGATTCAATGAAACATTTGACGAAATCCTACAGGAACAGGGCACCCAAGGAATCCGTGACACTGAACATATTCCTCGGTTTAGTTTCACTAAAAGTGAAAAATTGATTAACGTGTTGAACAAAGAAGGTATAGGTAATGTAAAAACTGTTTTTAGCGAAACTAAATTGCAACAATCAGAAGCCGAAGGGAAAGAAAGTAGTAAAGTAATTGATGGGAAAGAGGCAAATGTTCGTGACAGTCCTCTTGAGGCTCAGGTACGAACCATTCGTTACATTCCTGTGCTATCATTTGGACAAAAAGGTGAGTCTGTTGGAGAGTTTAACGGGCCCTGGGGGGTGGCAGTGAACGATCGTGATGAAATTGCTGTGACTGAGCTCTGGAACGGCAGAGTTTCAGTGTTTAGTAGTGACGGTACCCACTTAAGATCGTTTGGCAGATGGGGTCAGAAAAGTGGTGAGTTTAATCTACCTTCAGGGATCGCTTTTGATAGTCATGGCAATACTGTAGTGGCAGACAGTGACAACCACCGGGTGCAAGTCTTTGATAGAAATGGTTCGTTTCTTCGTACGTTTGGTGAACATGGAAGTCTTGATCACCAGCTTAAAAACCCTGAAGGTTTATCAATAAACGGCAACGGTGATATTATTGTCACTGATACTGGTAACAAATTAATCAAGATATTCTCGTCTAGTGGCGAGTATTTACGTAAATTCGGTGGAGCAGGTTCTTTGGTTGAACCCAATCACTGTATCCAACACGGTCAATATCTTATAGTCTCAGATTATGGTGACGATTCCATTAAAATGTTTGATCTTGAAGGAAAGTCTATTTCTAAGTTTGGAAAACAGGGGGAGAATGAGGGAGAGTTCGATGGGCCCTATTATTTGTTAGTTAACAAAGAAGGATTTCTAATGGTCTGTGATGCAGGAAAGAACAGAGTTCAGGTATTTGAACTGAGTGGAAAGTTTGTTGCAAAGTTTGGAAGTGAGGGTAGCGAGAGAGGAGAGTTTGATTGTCCAGGTTCTATAGCAAGTCTTAGTGATGGAAGGATAGTTGTGAGTGATAGGAATAACCATCGAATCCAGATATTTGACCAAATATGATATGATCTCATCCTTCTATTATTGATGTGCTACAATTGCTCGCATATTTTTGGAGGAAAAATATTTTGACGTAGTTTAATTAGTTTCTTGATCTTTCATAGCTTTTCATACATAATACAGCAAATAGCACTTGAGTAAAGATCGTTTAAGAGTGTAGATTCTGTTTGTTTCCAAATAATGTGAAAATTTTAATCCACCTTTAAGCTTGCGTAGAAAGCGTTTTCATGTGCGCAGCTTCGTTGAAAACGTTGTTTTTCTTTTGCTCTCGCTCCAACTTAACTTGACTGAAAACACTTGCTACGCGGGCTAAGGCCACCACAGCCATTGTCAAATGTTGTCAAGACTATTTTTAAGGTAATTTGTATAATTTAATCGTAGTGTGATGGCTAGTCAATATGATATGTAAAAATCTAAGCTTATAAATTATAATGTAATGTAAGTAAATTTGTAATAAACTTCAATTCTTCGCACTTTAAAATTTGCTCGGTTTATCTCACTGAGGAATTTTTACCCTAGTTTCTTACTTGCCCTTACAGATTTTGCAAAAACAAAAAAAATTCGAAAAACCATTTGAAGCTTAATTAGGCAAATGTTTTTTTCTGCTCACTCTTTGGACAAAATTAAGATAACAATGATAATGATGATGATGATGATAATAATAATAATAATCAAATTAAAAAGAGATACTAGCCCATTTTGGCTTCCCTTAAATTCGAGATGAAACAAAGTTTTATGTACGTACCTATTCTAATTATAAAATTTGAAAACAATGAAATAATAATAACCATACCCAATTCGAGACCAAAATGGGCAAAGTGTATACCCGTTTTCAGAACAAAACGGCCCAAACACCCTACCCGATGGGGCGGCACATACCCTTATAGCTTACATAAGAGGGTACCCCCGGGTAAGCTCAGCACTAACAGCGCTGTAGATGGTAGACCATAGGTCAAATTAGCTATAACTAGACTTTGAAATAGATAGTCTATTTCTGCCTGAGTATACCCCTCCTTCCTTAACGATCTCAAATATAAAAAGACATTTGAAATATACTTAGATTCAATGGACATTGACAGAGACTCCGGGGGGAGGGGTACTCCCTTATATAAGCTATATGTGTATTTGCCGCCCCGTCGGGTAGGGTTTTTACGCCGTTTTCGTCTGAAAACGGGTATACACTTTGCCCATTTTGGTCTGGAATCGGCCGGTATGGTTTTTGAGGGAATTACGTGTTGAGGAAGAAATACTCGCAATAGAATAGACGCCGCGTTTACGCTGAGTACTTTGTTATGAATATTTGTTTATTTCAAGGACCCAATTAGAATATGACGTAATGTTTTCTAGAAGTTTCTATGACAAGATAAGAACTGGATTAACAGATTTTTTGTCTTCGGGTTATATAAGCAATTTCAACGTACCAGTGTGCGCGTTTTTTGTCGTGGATCGATCTGTAACGGAGGTCTCTTACGTTTCTGGTAGAAATTAAAGTTCAAGTTGCGTTTAAGAATCTTGTGGCTGTCACAGACGTTCAAGTTGAATCTTAACACTACGGGAGTGTATGAACGTATTCATCGTTTGAATTGCAAATGAGTAAGAAAGAAAGAGAAGCATGCGAATTCGAAATGGATTTGAAGAATTTTTTTGTTTGCGCTCTAATCTAAGTAATGATAACATAATTTCTGCCTAAAGGCCATGTCTGAAAACGGGGATGGTTTTTAGAGGTCTGGTCTGAAAACGGGTGTGGGAAATTACGTTTTTTGGTCTGAAATAGGGTCAGGATTTAAAGAACCGGGCGGCACACCCCCAACAAGGAATTCCCAGTGGCACCCCCCTCCCCGGGAAAGAGACCAGGGGCACCCAACGCGAAAATATAGTTCAAAACCACTTAAACATGTTCATATAGGCGTATTTTTATCCCCTAAAAATTTTTCGTCTGTTCGGATTTTCTAGCTGAAAGTCTATTGATTCGAAAATTATAGGGATCAAAGCATTTCAGCCAGATCGAGAAAAAAGGCTCCCGAAAATTCTAGGTGACCTTTTTAGGGTAAAAATCTGCTAAAAATGGGCAATTATACCATTTTTTAGATGTTCGAAAATTCTCGGAGAGGCAGGTAAGCATGAAATTTTACAACAAATGTTCCGAAAATTCTAGATCTCAAATCGTCTTCCGACTGAGATATTTTCCAAAAATTGACGTTAGGTGCCCCTGAGAGGGGTTGAAGACAGTGATGTAAAATAAGATGTGAAAGATTCTCTAGACATGTCAATAGTTCATGCTTTAAAGCGGAGATCAACAATTCTGAGAAAAACAGGATGTAGTACGTCAAAATCTCAACAAAGTGTAGGGACTCATTTTGATTGGTTAACTTTTGTCGGGGTCACAAAAGGGTGAGTTCGCTTCTCTCAAAAAGTCGTTCCTTAGAGTGCTTAACAAGATTTACTTTATTCTCCGATCTCGGAATGGATATAAAGACCTTGCTGGACAATCTTCATGATGAACTATCCTGTTCTGTATGTATGTGTACATTCACTGATCCAAAGCAGTTGCCTTGTTTGCACAGTTTCTGTCTTCACTGCCTGAACGGAATTCAACGAACGAGTGGCGTCCATGGCAAAATTACATGCCCCGAGTGTCGAAGACAGTTTCAAATCCATGGAAGTGGAAATCCGAGCGAACTTCCCACAAATTTTCGTATCAACAGTTTGCTGGATGTCTTGGCAATTAAAGAGTGCAGTACAGCTAACGTGAAATGTGGAAACTGCGACAAGCGGAGCGCCCAGACCTTTTATTGCTTCCAGTGTTGTTCCTTCTGGTGCGAGCAATGTATTTTAGGCCATAACATAATACGCACTAATAAAGAACACAAAACGCTGGCTTTGAAAGATTTTCAAGATCATGACTTCGAGGCTGTGTTAAAGCGACCAGCATTTTGCCAGAAAAAACTTCATGAAAAAGAGGAGCTGAAGTTCTTTTGTAAGAACTGTGAAGTGGCAATTTGCAACACTTGTGCAATGACACTTCATGAAGGTCACGGCAAAATGCTCTTGCAAGAAGCTACAAATGCCCGCAAGACACAGTTAAATTACATGATTAAATCCTTCAAAGATAAGGCACTGGAGAAACGAAAGGAGGTCCAACAATTCAACCAAAAGAGCATGAAAGTTCAAGCGCAAGTAGCCGACGTAAAAAGCCAAGTGCAGACGAATGTAGACCAAATTATTGCAATCATCGAAGCGAGGAAACAAGATGTTTTTGATGCGGTCGATAATGAAGCGGAAAAGTTACTAAAAAGACTCTCGCACAAAAAAGGCGAAGTTGAAAACCAAGTGACAAGAATTGAATTCGCAATTGAACAAACTGAATCTCTTTTGAAACGAAACTCTAGTACTGAAATCCTTGAATTCAATGAAACATTTGAAACAGTCCTGGAGGAACAGAGCACTCCAGGAAACAGTGACTGTACAAGTATTTGTCGGTTCAGTTTCACCAAAAGTGAGAAACTGGTTAACGTGTTAAACAGTGAAGGGATAGGTAATGTGAAAACTGTTTTTAGCGAAACTAAAGTGCAACAATCAGGAGCTAAAGGTAAAGAAAGAAGTAACGTAATTGCTGGAAATAGCGGGGCAAATGATCGTGACAGTCCTCGTGAAGCTCAGGTACAAACCAGGCGTTTCAGACGAGTGCTATCATTTGGACAAGAAGGTGAGTCTGTTCGAATGCTTTTTAATAGCTGGGAAATAGTTGTAAATTGTTGTGACTGAATACCGTGACCACAGGGTTCCGGTGTTTAGTATAGTAACCTGCGATCAGGTGTTCTTCTTCCCTCTTGTTTTGAAGACGAGGGGAAAAGGTGCGGTGGGCCGCAACTGTCACATCAAATACAAATTGGTCACATCAAAAACAAATCCTTACATCAATACAAATTGCTCACATGAAATACAAAATAGCTCACATCAAAAATAAATGGCTCACATCAAAAAGAAAGTCCTGACATGATAACTGGGATTAAACGGTCAGCCGTCGGAGAACGAAGACTGGTAAGTACGTGGTGTAACCATCATATAGTGGTTTCACGTTATTTCATATGCAATATAACTGTTCGCACTTCTATACCACATAGGCCTACATATTCCTACATTAGCTGTACATAGCTGTACATAGCCTTACATAGCTGTATATAGCCTTACATAGCCCTACATAACCTTACATAGCCTTACATAGCGGTACACAGCCCTACATAGCTTGTAGGGCTATGTGAGTGAGTGAGTGAGTGAGTGAAAACTTTATTTACCCATGGTAATTTTATCAAATAACTTTACAATGAAGTATCTGTTCTACCTATGCTAAAAGCCGTGCATTAATTAATTTATATGAAGATTTTTTTTTTTTAACTCAATATTTATCCAGGGGCATCCAATTTAGCAGAGCTAGTTTAAATGGAGCCCTGACAAAACACAAAAACAAAGACATTAAAACATTAAAATTAGACAATTAATTAAGTTAAGACAACATGTAACGCAGGTGTTACTGTTTAAAGTGGCGCTTTAGCTTGATTTTGAATTCACTGAGGGTACATAGATCAATATCTGAAACAGTAAACTAAGAAAAGATTGCATACACTATTAAACCTAATAATAAAACTAAAATTATGATGCTTGTGTAGATAGTATATCCGACATGATCTGACCCTTAAATCTTCCTTTTCTCCTTTAAACTGGAAGGGAGAGAATTCTAGAGCTTAACACCCGCAGAAGCAAAACTATTCCTTTGCTTTTGGCACTTTGAGATTCATTCTAGAAGGGCGAAGGTCATAACTGAGCTGACTTGTATTAACGTCAAACATGTCAGACAAATAAGAGGGACAGAAGCCATGATTTACTTTAAATATCATTAATGCCATATGATGTCGTCTCATTTCATAAAGTGAAAGCCACCCAAGTTCAGGCCGAATATTAGCTGAATGTTTTGAATATGAAGCACCTGTTCGTGTTGGGCTATTTAGGGCTATGTGGGGTTGTGTACGGCTATGTAGGGCTATGTAAGGCCATGTATAGTACAGCCATGTAGGAATATGTAGGCCTATGTAGTATAGAGGTGCGAACAGTTATATTGCATATGAAATAACGTGAAACCACTATATGATGGTTACACCACGTACTCAGTACCAGTTTTCTTTCTCCGACGGCTGACCGTTTAATCCTGGTTTTGGTGTCAGGACTTTGTATTTGATGTCGGGATTTTATATTTGATGTAAGGATTTTGTTTTTGATGGGAGCAATTTAATATTTGATTTGAGCAATTTGTTTTTGATGTGAGCAATTTGTATTTGATGTAAGGATTTTGTATTTGTAGTTGATGTGACAGTTGTGGGCCACCGTAGTAAAGGACGCCTGATACATTCTTGTGTCTTTGATTTTATCTGGAAGGGAAAGGATAAAGTTAAACGTTCTGCACTTATTAGAGACATCGAAGATGGAGGACTTAAGGCTCCACATTTAAATTCCATACTTGAAACACAAAGAGTACTTTGCTGCGAGAAATTGGCAAATGATCAACAGAGTGGATGGAAAACAATCTTTTTGCACTATCTGAAACCTGTTGGTGGTAAATTAGTCTTAGGTTGTGACTTTGATTTGAAGAAATTGCCTATCAAATTACCAGCCTTTCATGAAGAATGGTTAAAATTTTTTGCAAAGTGCTCTGCGGTAAATAATGTAAATATACAGGATTTAAATGGAAAAGGCTTGTCAAAAGTTATCTTATGGAGGGGGGCGTAAGGGGGGTACGAATACCGCAATACCGCACATGGTAGCGAAAGAATACCGCAATACCGCATCAAAATTTAGCCAAATACCGAAACCGCAATTACAAATGGGAAAAAGTTGACGTTGTCAATACTACAAATCCCCCCTCCAATAATAATACTTTTATGTCAGTGTTTCCAAATCAAGGTGCGTCATAAGATCATCGCACTCGTTTTGTTCATAACATGTATACGTTTACATAAATGATACAACGGGGGTACCTGGGTTAATTTTTGCTGGGTATGTACCGCTGGCTTCTCCGAGCCCCTACCCCATTATAGTCTATTCTGTGGCCAATTATAGACCTCATCTTAGTCACTTTTGGGCAAATATTTAATTTTCGAGAACCCAGCTTGGTCGCTTTCAATTTTTATGAATTGACCATTTTTTAGATTGAATGAAGAACGCTTAACTTTTCATCTACAGAACAAACATTCTGGTACGTTTGCTAACCGTAAATATGAAGAACTGTCTTACCCCCAAAAATCAGAAAATGCGCGACCCCATTCTAGTAACTCTCTTGAAAATGCCACCCCATTATAGTCACTCCACTCTTGAAAATGCGGCCCCATCCAGCGGCACATTCCCACTAGCCTCTTATAAGGAAGTAACCCCCCGCCATCCCGGGCTGCCATCAGTGCTACGTAGGCTAAGCACACACGAATACTTGTACATTCCGAGAAGGGCGAATAATAATCTTTAAACCACACCATTTTCATAGATTATTTTTCGACACTACGAAATTTATAACGACCTCACTGACCTCACTATTTGCTGGAATATCAGAGTTATCACTTAGTTGACCCTCTGGATCGCTCGCCATTGTTTCGCGACTGGCACGAAAGTGGCGGTAAGATTGGTAAGGAAGTTAACCAACCTGACTATTCCCACAATTACAAAGTCCATGAGGTCATAAATAATGCGACATGTTTACGTATCATTGGATTAAAAAGTTAATGTCGTTAACCATATCAAGTATTAACTGAAATTACAAGCCATACGATTTGTCTGGACTGTTTGCGCAATATACGATCCCCGACTGTGCAGCTATAGGAAGACACGCAGGTCACGCCGGCTAGCTAGGGAGACCTTTAAGGATTTGTATTTTCTTGTCATGAAAAAGAAGCAGATCACCGTGACACAACGATTTTTTCACCGATTACCGCGACATAAAATTTAAACTCACCGCACACCGCTTGGGCTCTGAAAACCGCAATACCGTACTTTGAAATAAAAATTACCGCAACACCGCACCAAAAAATAGCCAATACCGCAATACCGCAAACCCTTACGCCGCCCTCCTTATGGAAGAACAAATTTATTTGTATTGGTCACAAGTCTGTGTATTTTCGAAATTTCGCTGAGAAAGGGATTCTTCGAGTGGGTGATTTAATCTCGAATAAAAATGAACTTATAATCAAAAGCGAGTTGAGAGTCTTGAACCTTTCGCCGTTGGATGCCTTTAGGTTTGTCTCTTTAAAGACAGGGTACTAGCACTTCAACAGAAACAAAAGAGAAACCTACGAATCTTGCCTTTTGTCACACAATATCAACCAGGGGCACCCAACGAGAATAAAGTTCAAAACCACTTACAATAGCATTGTTAAACGTATTTTAGTATCTAAACGGTAGATATAAGCATATTTTTATCCCCTAAAAATTTTTCATCTGTTCGGATTTCCTAGCTGAAAGTCTAGTGATCCGAAAATTATAGGGATCAAAACTTACCTTTTCGAAAATTTCAGCCAGAAAAAAGGCTCCCGAAAATTCTAGGTGATCTTTTTAGGGTAAAAATCCGTTAAAAATGGGTAATTATGCCATTTTTTAGATGTTCCAAAATCCTAGGAGAGGCAGGCAAGCAAGAAATTTTACAACAAAGGTTCCGAAAATTCTAGATCTTAAATCGTCTTCCCACTGTCTTCCGATTAGATATTTTCCGAAAATTGACGTTGGGTGCCCCTGACCAACCCGTCAGTGCCTAACCTAAAGCAAATTCTAATGAGAAACTGGGATAACGTAATAGAACAACAATCATTACAGGGCGAAATCTAAAAAAATCCGCCCCTCATATCGTACAGAAGAGAGCGGCCGCTCAAAGACATACTCGTGAGAGCCAGACTATGAAAAGGTTATTGAATTCAGGATTTTTAAGTGGTTAACTCTAATTCTAATGCCATAACTCTACTTACATAGCTCTATCGTTAGTCAACCTCCTCCACCGTTGCTGGTTTTCAGTGTCACGCCATTCAAAATAGATCAAAATAAAAATCAAACCGTTCAATAGATAAAGTCCAGAATCTGGGAAATAAAAGGACTTACACATACAAAGACCCTCGCCAAGATTCAGGTCAGAGGAATATTTCGTATAAGAGATATCCGAAGAAACGTTTTACCCAAACTTATAGAGATTTGTATGGAGACGCCATGCTGGTGCTCACCTGGATGAGCTCCAACATCATGCGGACGGAAACCAACAGAAACTCATAAGGGAGAGACTCATAAGCGAGAGACTCATAAACGTTAAAGTAATACTTTTTCTAATACACGAACTGTTTAGATAGCAACATGTCCTGAAATAAGGACAGCTCTCTTAGCCGTCATTACAATGCCGCGTCACGCAAAAGCTTAGAAATTCAAGCGTACTCTATCACAAAACTAAGAACCCTTTTGAAGCGAAAATTTGTATGAAAATTAGTTTTCAGCGGCTCTAATACATTGTCAAACTAAAATCTCGGTAGCCTGCGTAGCTGGCGGTATTGTGTAGTAGTCGAGTGAGATTTGGCGGCGGAGCCGTTGTAATATAGTCGAGTGAGATTTGACGTCGGAGCCGCGAGAAATACCGCCTGCCAGAGGACCATGATTTTTGGAATGCCGCCCACTTTTGTCACGTTAGCTGATCCCAGTTAAATCAGCCAATCAAAGAGAAACCTGCAATTTGAAACTTCCGATTATTTTCGCCCGAGACAGTTTAGAAATAAGCGTTGACAGGCTAAACACGACTCCTAAGCTCGTGATAATGTGAAACGTGACCTTGTGAGTTTGCTTGAACAGAGGTTTTTTTTTATTTTCTCGGCTCTCGCTCGAAGGTTACTAGCACTACACAGTGCATGTAACATTCTAAACTTTGACTGAGTAAATCTTTTTTGCAACACTTGGCTTAACATTAAAAGGTCATGAAGCTGGTTTGTTACATGCATGCATACTGAGTAACCATTTCCTGTGGTTTATTCTTCTGTAGGTGTTCCTGATAGGATTTGATGTCAGATGTAGCTGTAAAGTGTTTTAATTTTCTTTGACCTTTGTTTCTTACGGCTAAATTAAGACAATTCCAGCACCGTGAAGTTTTAAGACGCCATTTCGGCAATCTGGTCATCAATTATGCTCTTCTGAAAGCGGAAATCACAATCACAATCACTTTACATGTACGTCTTTTCCGGTTTGCCATCTGCTCCCTAAATTGGGAAATATACGCGAAGGCTCATCTAACATGATTGACATATATATGGCCCTCGACCAATCCGTTTCCCCGCACACTGGTGTGCGGACTATTCAAAATACCGGGGTTTTCTGGCAGGCGGTATTTCAACCGCCTTGTCCCTACTCCAACACGGCTCCGCCGCCAAAACTTTAATCTCGCACCCACACAATCAGCATCAGCTACGCAGGCTAAATCTCGGTAGGATCGATAGTTGAGTTTGAATTTTAGTGACGTCATGTGAAAACCAACAATTGTTTTCAATGAATTATTTATTTGCCCCCGGGTTAGTTTCTTTGACTTTACGGTTTGAACAAAGGTACCACACGGCAACGATAAGGCAAGATGCGCAATAAAATGGAAATAAAAATCTATGAAACTTACCATGTGGCGAGTTGACAGATACCTTAATTGGGGGGCGGCAGATGACTCGTGAAGTAATTGTATCAGACGTTCTTTTTTCCCCTTTCCCGCCTGATCGCAGGATATGTTTAGTAGTGACGGAACTCGCTTGTAAGATCGTTTGGAAGAAAAGGCAAGAGTTATGGTGAGTTTTAGCAACATTGTAGTTGCAGACAATGATAATCACCGGGTGCAAATCTTTGATGGAAATGGTACGTTTCTTAGTACGTTTGGTAAACAAAAAAGTCGTGACCAGCCCCAGCTCAAATTACATGAAGGTTTGTCAATAAACGGCAACACACAGCGCGGGGTGTACTTGACATTGCTGCTCCTAGCCGTATGCAGCATGCACCTGCAGTGAGTTTTTTCTCCACTTTGCGTTTGTGACGTTATGTTATGTAAAATCTTCCTCGTAAGCTCATAAGACAAAATGATTTTGTATCGCTTCTTTTTCAACACAACAGGAACTCTTCATGACCCATACAGTACTAACGACGATTACCTCGAATCCCCCCGAGATCAGTCACTGTATGATATCGGCCCGCATACCACCTCTTCGACAAGTTATTCCTCAAACTCTTCGACTCCAGTGACCACTACACTCCAACGGGTGTTCACCAATGCCTTTGCACCTACTTCAAGCGACGACATCCAGTTGGGAATGGAGGTACTGGTAGCTAGGTCACGAGGTCAGATAGGACGCGGTAAAGTGAAGTATGTTGGACCATTACCAGGCCGCCGCGATACGTATATCGGAATTGAACTAGGACCTGGTCAAGGTAAAAAGACAAAATTTACGACTGGGAAAAAAACTGTTTTCCCTGAAGGGTGGCGTCCGATTTATTGGTGTTGTGATAAGTTTGAAGCCAAACAAAAGTCAATTGTAGATTCAAAAGCGTCGTTTTCTGCCATTTTTTTACGCATGCCTAGCACTCGAAACGTCAGCTTTTGAACTTGAATTGATTACAGTGGTTAATGGACCCCGCTGGATGACAAACGACGCAGTGGAAAAGAAAGGATGTTAGCTTTTTGAATGATGTAATGTCTTTGTTTTTCTTGTCCCTCTGCGTCGTTTGCCATCCAGCAAGTTGTTTTTTTGTACCATGTGACGGTATGTATTCTGCAACTAAGGCCCACTGACTGACTCAGCGCTACAGTTTCTAACCCTGCCCCCCTTTTTATAAGAGTTAACTAGTAATTCGCCACTTTGAGGTTGCGCGGGAGGCCGGGTCGAGATGGTTGTTAATAGGCTGATTTAGCAACAGAACTGGAACTTCATTTGACGACGGGAAAGCGCGCGGAAAGGTCTAAACTCGACTTCCGGTGCCCAATTTGCCGCTCAACCATTGGTCAAGTTAAGCCAGTTGTTTGATTTGCGCGGGCCGTCGTCAACTGACGTTCCCGTTCTGTTGCTAAATCAGCCTAATGTGCATTGTGGGACTGATTCGGGGGACGAATTTGCCGCCATGTTGAAATTCGCTCCCCAAAACAGTCCCACAATGCACTTTGATAACCATCTCGACCCTGTCTCCCGCGCAACCTCAAAGTGGTGAATAGTTTACACTACAGCTATCCCCGTTCTGTATGTTGTCGGTGAATTGTATAATTGGTATTTGTGTAGCTCATTTATATACCGATTCATATTTAAAAGATTTCCACACATATTCCACTCAATAGACGAGATAAAAGCAGGAAACGCAAGAGTCCGTGCCGCACTTATTCCGGTAGATTTTCGTAGCTTTATTCAAAACACTCTCACTTACGCCGGAGGATCTTTTTTAACCGCAAGAAAATATTTCATTAGAAGTGGTAATTTTTCTGGTACTTTTTACCTTACAGTTCATTTCAAGAGCCGGAAAGCAAGTCTCCGCAATTCCCACTATAGTCATCTTTTTAAAGCTGAAATGGCATTTTAGACAATACTTTGTTTTAACAATACTTTATAGAGGGATCTGTGAAAAGTGAACACGTTAGCACAGAATGTAATTGACGGCGAATTTCTGTTTACGTAGATCGTTCTCCTTATAAGCGCCTTTTTTCAATCGTTCGCTTAGGAAAACTTTCTGGTAATTGGTCTTTTATTTCCTCAAAGTGATTTGTGTGTGACAAATCGTTTCAATTCAAAGATTTGTGGATGATAAACTAGTGGCTGGCAAACCCTCCAAGTGCTTACATTTTTTTATACACGTACCACGAGAATTTCATTTCGTAATGCTTATTTGCAGGAATCAGATACGTTTTTTTTATGCAGCCAATCAGAATGGCGTACAGCTGTTTTGAGTTCACATGTGGAAGCATAACCAATCAACGACAGCATAGACACCTTTCTGAGCCAATCAGAGTCGTTCATCGTTTGCATTCAAATTGATTTCCAGATTTGGCGCCTTAAAAAACAGCGGACGGGACAGCTTTTCTGGAGTATATTACGAAAGCGGACACACAACTGAGACAAGAACTGGCGCCGATCCAAAAGACGCTGGTGTTGTAAAGCCAAAAATGTTTGCTGTCGAAGGCAATGAAAACGATCCTTTCAGGGCTTATGACATCTATGCTTCTAAAAGACCAGATGATATGAAGACCGTTTTATTTGCGATCAATCACACTACAAAAGCCGCCGTAAACACAAAATCTTGGTGCAGGTCAGCTCGTATGGGAGTTAATAACCTCAACTCACTTGTGAAAAGAATAGCAGAGAAAGTTGGATTAGATGCTAAAAACCTCACGAATCATAGCGGGAGGAAAAGGATGATCCAGAAACTGAATGACCTAGGCGTGCCTCCAACGCATATTATACAAGGGCACAAGAACGTACAGTCTGAACAACTGCAGCATACTGTCTGAACGACAACAAAAAGACATTTCCAAAATTCTGGTCCTTTGAAGTGCCAGGGCGCCGCCAAGCTATCAAGTAGATATTTCCAACGCTTGATTCTGAATGCAAGTAAAACAGTACGGGAGTCTAAAACACAGCAGCCCTTGACTCTTTTCCAAGGCGCTTCAATTCACGACTGGAACTGTAACATTTCTGTAAATTCCTTGAACGAAAGTCCCATTTTGTCTACAATCTCCAAGGTCCAAAAAGGCACGCCACTTTTTCATTGAATCAAACAGTGACTATTAAAAATGAAATTTTGTCTTATTTACTTTTCTGTTCTGCACTTTATTTCGATGAGGACTTAGGATGTGCTGCAAGATTTGCCATTGGTGTTAAATTTGCATTTGGTTCTACTTTTTGTGATTTGCTCTTTTTAATATGTGTTACATTAAGAAAACTATTTCAGTGACAGTTCTCGTGAAATGAGCAATAAACAGCTTTTGTACGGGGTTGTATTCACAAGTTGTGCCAAAAGCCCTTACTCGCTCGTACCTCGCTCTCTCCGACCGGGTTTTGACACAAACAACTCGTGAATATGACCCCGTACGCCGCACGTTCTCAGTGACGTTAACTATATATAGGCCCCTTAGAACTTTGATGGTCTTTAATACCGAGTGTCTTTCCATAGTTTCGGCAAACACGAGATTTTCTCTTGCGTGGTCAGAGAGTTATGATGCTGCCTTGTTGAAGAGAGTAAAATGAGACAAAGAAATGCAAATTTCTGCAAGCTTCTCAACAGCTTCTTCAGTCACTGAGCACATAACGCAAAAGAGTATCGAAGTATGACTGTAAAATGACTAGCTGTCACAAATTAAATCAAACTACGCGGTTTTCACCCTCCAGATACAGGATTTCGGATTTAGTGTTAACTCCCGAATTGTGATGTCACAATACCCATACTCCCTCTGAGCATTTTCCATTTAACCTCATCCTAACCATTTCTTACTTGCGGGCGTTAGCAATGGAAACGTCATCACTGATTACTCACCGATTCCATGCTGTCCCTGTTTTCGACAAATCGAGATTTTTCTGATATACTGACTCCATGATTTAACTGTAAGTACTTTCCTATACTAGGATGCCTCCTCGGAATTTCGCCTTTTTGCCGAAGTCCCTGCGGAAGCAAAAAGTCCCTGCGTTTAGGTTTGGCACGAATCCAGGAATCAATGCAACAAAGCCCCCACAGCTCTTTCCTGACCGTGACAAGGATATAAGTTATCATTTTTACATTATTTTTCTACTCTTTTTTCAGTGGGTAAGCACGACGGAACTTTCGACGGACAGAGACTTTTTGCTTGGTAAGTAAACTTCACATTCAAGTAGACGTGATCAGCAAGATATTATTTATTGTGATATCTTGTGAATTAATTATGTTTGACAGAGTACCCATAAAACCCTATTTTGAACAGACTACTGCCTGGTGTATCGTTGAGGTTTATTTACCCTGCATGGTCTTTAAATGAATGCGAAGCTGGAACTAAGTTTGTTTAGATGCAAACCTTCCTGCTTGTCTTGTAGAAGTATACTTCTTAGTAAAACGTGTCACCCAAGGAAAAAAAAAATTCGAGAGATGGTATAGAGCTAAATGGTGATGTTTCCTCATTAATAATAATAATAATAATAATATCATTATTATTATCATCAATAATTGTTTTTTTCTCCTTAATTAGTGAACCGAACAAAGGGATCTGCGTCTCGTTCAGCAAAGTGGTCATGTGTTATGATCACACAGCTCCTTGAAGTTTCGTAATGTGCATGCGGACAAAAAAGTAAATTAGATGGTTTGTAGCAGAGAACGTGTAATTGTCAATGAAATGTTTGTGGCCAAGCTGACTGCAGCATGTACAACACGTGTTGTAGACTTGATGACAAATTTTCAAATTTTACAAATTTTGTTTAGACTGTAGATCAGTGAGCAGTTTCTGAAAGACCTTTATTTAAAATTAAGAGTAAAATAGAGAGAACATGTGCTTTCTCTCACCTCTGTGGCTAGAATGCAAGCTTTGTAGCTCCTAGGCTTGCAGTCAACCGTTCTCCGGAGGGACTCCTAGGTCCCCTCCGTTCTTCAGTCCTTTTCTTTGACTCGAAGGCAGTCTCCCAGTCCCAACCCTGACCAGCTAAGAGAGCGTGGACTCTATTGCATTTGAAATTAATCTTCCTGTGGCCTAAAGAGGGCTCATCAGAGAGATAGTTTATAAGCACATCTTTACGGCAAACGGAAAGCCGCGGCTTCTTCCCGTTTGTCGCTCTTGTCGGTAATCATTGCGTCTTAAAACTTAGGTTTTGGCGTCAGTATACCCTAAATAGACACTCAGCGTTCCATGCCATCCAGCGAAAGTGGACTTTCATATTTTCAGTGTTCACAGACCTGACGACTTTCTCGAGCTTTCTGCAATCTAAAATTGCGTTTGATACACTTTCTCTCTCTGCATATGTGCATCATGAAATAAAACAACATTTATTTGTTTTGAAGCATACGTTCCCCAATGTATCTTAGGGGTGTGAAAAAGTTTTCTAATAATGTGTACGAGGGGTGTGATAAAAATGTTGTTTTTAGAACTCCAAGCTCTTCATATTGACAAGACTGGCAACAAACGTGAAATATAGTCGAACCTCCACTAAGCGCCGATCACCCAAAATGCGAAGATTTAGTGGTCTACGAGAGTTCTACACGAGCTCTTTCGGGAGGACGCCCCGAAACATCTACCTTTTGGTAAAGAATTTATTACATGTAATTTCTTAGTTTAATACGATATGTGTAGTTTCATGTTGCCACTAAAAGTTCTTCGCATACTTTTCAATGACTCTTGGCAGTGTAGCACGTAAGAAACATGGAGATCAGACCATTTGTCAATTCAAGTGGTAGCCTACAAGATGTTAAAAACAATGTAAAATTATAAAACCGTCCTCCCAAAAAGTGGTCGCGGTCGCTTACCCGTGGTTGTCGTTTAGGAGAGTTTCTAGCGTGTTTTGGATCGGTGGTCGCATATGGGAGGTGATCGCTTACGAGAGGTATGACTGTATGGCGGAAAAAAATTGATCAACTTTTCATCTCTGCCGTTTGCCGTTAACGTGGTGTTTAATTTCTCTAGCGTTTACTTTTTTATGAAAAATTTAACTTCTTATTTATTTATGTCTACCTAGTTTTACTAAGTTGTTTCAGTTGTTAAGTATATTTATTACCATTCATGTGAAACATCTATTACCACTTTTATCTCTGAACGAAAAATCATCGTAGACGAAGAAAGGTAGTATTATTAGTAATAGTATACATCTTCTAGAGTATTTATATTATCTATATGTTGAATATGTTTTACAAACACTTGTGTTGCCGAGGCTAATGGGTCTACATCGCTTCACCAATGCAAACTCAACCAGTTTATTTGGAGGAAAAGAGCAAACCATTCGACTGACCCCGGGGGGTACTCCCTTATATAAGTGATATAAGCCATATAGGTATGTGCCGCCCCTTCGGGTAGGGTTTTTGGGCCTTTTTAAAACGGGTACACACTTTGCCCATTTTGGTCTGGAATCGGGTATGGTTTTCGAGGGAACTTCTGGAGCGTATGAACGTATTTATCGTTTCAATTCCAAATGAAAAAGAACGAAATAGAAATATGCGAATTCGAAACGCATTTGAAGAAGTTTTTTGTTTGCGCTCTAAATGGCTAAGTCATGATGACATACTTTCTGCCTAATGTGGAAAATGACTTTTTTTTGGTCTGAAATAGGGTTAGGATTTGGGGAACCGGGCGGCACACGCCCACCAAGAATTCCCAGGAGTACCCCCCGGGGCGACTCTCAGTTTGTTGTGACTGAAAGAGGAACTGAATACTGTCACGAGTCGAATAACTTAAGGCTTGACTCATATGGACATAGCCTGAAACTGCGATTGTATTATCGTTTGTGAAAATAATCTTGATGCCCGAAAATTTTTAGTATGAAAGCGTGTGCATTTATATTGTAGAACTCTGGATTTATCTTGAGTCTTTGGGAAAAATACATTTGATTAAAGAAATATACCTATTTTAATTGAAAAATGTGTTTCTGGTTAAACTGAAGGATTTAATTGCTTTTTTAATAAACATAAACTAAACCCAGTCTTAAAATTTGTTCCCTCATTAATTTCTGAGAGGGCATAATAGTCAATAGACTGCGTGGAAAGAGCGCAAAATGGGAACGTGGGATACGCACTTCTATGAAGGAGCTGTCCGCGAGTGATCCCTCAGGCACATCGCTTTTTAATATTTGCACCCATTCCTTAAGGGTCTGCTCAGCTAGGTAGGCAAAGAACGAAGAAAAATCTAACTACAGAACCATTTGTCTTGCATGAATTAGCTTGCTTATTTCTAAAGCCAGATTCATTCAGCTGTACATTGTTTCTCAAGCTTTTTCTCCTCAGTTTAATGTCAAGGAAGGTGAAGGGCGTTGCCCTCTTTTTTGTGTCAATTTTACATCACTATTAAATGCTCCATGTCTCAAACCACCCTTGGGGGGATACCTTATGATGCCTACACAAAATCATTTCTTATATACGAACGAGCACTATTTAAGAAACGGTCCAGACAAAAACGATACCAACAACGGCAACGAACATGTTGGAATGCAAAAAAGGTGCTAACTTTTCTATGGTCTGTACTTACTTCTGATTGGCTTAAACAGCAAAAGTTAACAAAACTTTATAAAGCAGTACATATATTCATCCTTACTTTCCAGACATCTTCCATTTAACAAAATCTGGTCTCAGTTTGAATAACAAAGAAATCTTATGTGGGGAACATGTAAAATTGTAAACTTTTCTTGGCTATTGTTTTCAACTCTTGTGATTGACCAAAATCTTTTAACACCAAAAAACACCATTTCAAAGTGGAGTGTAAATACTTTTTATTGGGTAAACGGCCTCTATGTAGGTTTATGCATTCTCTGTGTAAACATGAGAACATTCCTATGTGGGAAAGCACCGTTGTCGCATAACAAAAGAAATTGCTATCCACCTTACCCGGATCATTACTTAAAAGATTGACAAAGTAGATACATAAATAGAAAGTGACATTACATACTTGCCCAAAAGTGACTAATATGGGGTCTACAATTGGCCACAGAGTAGGCTATAATGGGGAAGGGGCTCTAAGAGGCCAGCGGCACATACCCAGCAAAAATTAACCCAAGTAACCCCCCGGGGGGCTCCACGGGATCTCAGTCAATCTTAATAAGCGAATTTTCTTTTCAACCTACATCAAAATGATTAGTAAAAAGAATAGTGCCCTTACTTTTGACAAAAATTTCTTTTACTATAAAAAAAACATAAACAGACCAGAATCTTACTTTTCCATTTAAAAAACATGAAATATTCGGCGGCGTTGCAAATGTTTCTCATATGGCGCGAAAACTTACTTTCATATGACAACATGCGCGTTTTTTTTTTTCGCACGCTCAGGAGGTCAAACGGATGTGATTTTGCATGAAAAGAATATTCACAAAATTCTGCTTGAATTGTTCAGAAAATAATTTGTTTAATCTTTAATAATTAACTAACAGCTTACTGATTTATTAATTTGGGCGACCACCTTGGAGGCCATGGCACCCTTGCTAAAATGATCTTTTAGGCCTGGGCACCCCAGCTAAAATGCTTGGGGAGACCGAAGGGTTCCCTGAAATTTTCCCTAGAGTACAGCTTTGCAGCCCTGTAGTTATTGGAAGTATGACACATTACATGCCATTGTTGAATGTGAAAGTGCATTTTTTGAGGACATTAGTAAAGGAATGCAAATTTTTGTGAACTACCCCATACTCCAGTTTTGTTTTGAGTAGCAGAGGAACCCATGTGTGTAACTCATCTTCTAGTGTATCAGTCCTTAACAGAACATCTCCGTCTCTCCTGCACACATTTGTTGCATACACTACTCAACTTTCCATTGCCATTCAACATACCGGTAATTCTTTCTTACACCAACACATCCCGCGTAAACGCCTTTGGGCGTCTTCTTGTTTGAAAACAATAGAGTCGCCCCTCCCTCACGTAGGCACCAAAGAGGACACAAAACACTGTCACTAAAAGGTTTTTAACATAAAGACATCGAGGCCGTGTTAAAGCGACCAGCATTTTGTCAGAAAGAACTTCATGAAAAAAAGGAGCTAAATTTTTTTTTAAAGACTGTAAGGTCGCCATTGCTGTTCACGAAGGTCGCGGCAAAATGCGAGAAGCTACAAATGCCCGCAAGACACAGATAAATTACATGATTAAATCCTTAAAAGATAAAGCACTGGAAAAACGAAAGGAAGTCGAGCAATTCAACCAAAAGAAGATAGAAGTTCAAGCTCAAGTAGCCGACGTAAAAAGCCAAGTGCAGACGAATGTAGACCAAATGACTGCAATCATCGAAGCGAGGAAACAAGATGTTTTTGATGCGGTCGATAATCAAGCGAACAAATCACTTGAAACACTCTCACAGAAAAAAGGCGAAGCTGAAAATCAAGTGAAAATAATTGAATCAGCAATTGAACAAACTGAATCTCTGATGAAACGAAACCTCAATGCAGAAATCCTTGGATGCAATGAAACATTTGATGAAATCCTACAGGAACAGGGCACCCAAGGAATCCGTGACACTGAACATATTCCTCGATTTAGTTTCACTAAAAGTGAAAAATTGATTAACGTGTTGAACAAAGAAGGTATAGGTAATGTAAAAACTGTTTTTAGCGAAACTAAATTGCAACAATCAGAAGCCGAAGGGAAAGAAAGCAGTAAAGAAATTGATGGGAAAGGGGCAAATGTTCGTGACAGTCCTCTTGAGGCTCAGGTACGAACCATTCGTTACATTCCTGTGCTATCATTTGGACAAAAAGGTGAGTCTGTTGGAGAGTTTAACGGGCCCTGGGGGGGGTGGCAGTGAACGATCGTGATGAAATTGCTGTGACTGAGCTCTGGAACGGCAGAGTTTCAGTGTTTAGTGGCGACGATACCCACTTAAGATCGTTTGGCAGATGGGGTCAGAAAAATGGTGAGTTTAATCTACCTTCAGGGATCGCTTTTGATAGTCATGGCAATATTGTAGAGGCAGACGGTGTCAACCACCGGGTGCAAGTCTTTGATAGAAATGGTACGTTTCTTCGTACGTTTGGTGAGCTGGAAGTCTTGTTCACCAGCTTAAAAACCCTGAAGGTTTATCAATAAACGGCAACGGTGATATTATTGTTACTGATACTGGTAACAAATTAATCAAGATATTCTCTTCTAGTGGCGAGTATTTACGTAAATTTGGTGGATTAGGTTGTTTGGTTGAACCCAATCACTGTATCCAACACGGTCAATATTTTATAGTCTCAGACTATGGTGACGATTCCATTAAAATGTTTGATCTCGAAGGAAAGTTTATTTCTAAATTTGGAAAACAGGGGGAGAATGAAGGAGAGTTCGATGGGCCCTATTATTTGTTAGTTAACAAAGAAGGATTGCTAATGGTCTGTGATGCAGGAAATAACAGAGTTCAGGTATTTGAACTGAGTGGAAAGTTTGTTGCAAAGTTTGGAAGTGAAGGTAGCGAGAGAGGAGAGTTTGATTGTCCAGGTTCTATAGCAAGTCTTAGTGATGGAAGGATAGTTGTGAGTGATAGGAATAACCATCGAATCCAGATATTTGACCAAATATGATATGATCTCATCCTTCTATTATTGATATGCTACAATTGCTCGCATATTTTTGGAGGAAAAATATTTTTGACGTAGTTTAATTAGTTTCTTGATCTTTCATAGCTTTTCATGCATAATACAGCAAATAGCACTTGAGTAAAGATTGTTTAAGAGTGTAGATTCTGTTTGTTTCCAAATAATGTGAAAATTTTAATCCACCTTTAAGCTTGCGTAGAAAGCGTTTTCATGCGCGCAGCTTTGTTGAAAACGTTGGTTTTCTTTTACTCTCGCTCCAACGTTCGTATATTAACTCGATTGAAAACGCTCGCTACGCGGGCTAATTAAGGCCACCACAGCCATTGTCAAATGTTGAAGACTATTTTTAAGGTCATTTGTATAATTTAATCGTAGTGTGATGGCTATTCAATATGCTATGTAAAAATCTAAGCTTTTAAATTATGATGTAATGTAAGTAAATTTGTAATAAACTTCAACAATTCTTCGCACTTTAAAATTTGCTTGGTTTATCTCACTGAGGAATGTTTACCCTATTATCTTACTTGCCCTTACAGATTTTGCAAAAACAAAAAAAAATTCGAAAAACCATTTGAAGCTTAGGTAAAAGTTTTTTTCTGCTCATTCTTTGGACAAAATTATGATAATAATGATAATTATGATGATGATAATAATAATAATCAAATTAAAAAGAGATACTAGCCTATTTTGCCTTCTCTTAAATTCGAGATGAAATAAAGTTTTATGTATGTATGTGTGTATGTGTGTGTGTATGTATGTATGTAATACAGGTCTGAGCGCTGAAGATTCTTAAAGTTAACTGACAGCTCACTGTAAAATCTGTGCGAATGACAGAACATATAAAGCTATCAATAGCCTATCTAAACTGCCTATGATGCTCAAAAATAATAGTATTATCATTACTAAAAAATTTTAAAATAATGAAATAATAATAATCATACCCAATTCCAGACCAAAATGGACAAAGTGTACACCCGTTTTCAGAACAAAACGGCCCAAACACCTACCCAACCCGATGGGGCGGCACATACCCATATAGCTTATATAAGAGAGTACCCCCCGGGTAAGCTCTGCGTAAAACAGATGGTAGGCCATCGGTCAAATTAGGGATAACTAGACTTTGAAATAGTGTTGTTCTTTCTGGTGCGAGGAATGTATGTTAGGACATAACATAATACGCACCAACAAAGAACACAAAACGCTGGCACTGAAGGATTTTCAAGATCAAGACATCGAGGCCGTGTTAAAGCGACCAGCATTTTGCCAGAAGGAACTTCATGAAAAAGAGGAGCTGAAGTTCTTTTGTAAGAAGTGTCAAGTCGCAATTTGCAACAGTTGTGCAATGACACTTCATGAAGGTCACGGCAAAATGCTCTTGCAAGAAGCTACAAATGCCCGTAAGACAAAGATAAATTCCATGATTAAATCTTTAAAAGATAAAGCACTGGAAAAACGAAAGGAGGTCGAGCAATTCAACCAAAAGAGCATGGAAGTTCAAGCGAAAGTAGCCGACGTAAAAAGCCAAGTGCAGACGAATGTAGACCAAATGATTGCAATCATCGAAGCGAGGAAACAGGATGTTTTTGATGCGGTCGATGATCAAGCGAACAAATCACTTGAAACACTCTCACAGAAAAAAGGCAAAGTTGAAAACCAAGTGAAAATAATTGAATCAGCAGTTGCACAAACTGAATCTCTGATGAAACGAAACTTTAGTACAGAAATCCTTGGATTCAAGGAAACATTTGATAAAATCCTACAGGAACAGGGCACCCAAGAAAACCGTGACACTGAATGTACTCCACAGTTTAGTTTCACCAAAAGTGAAAAATTGATTAACGTGTTGAACAGTGAAGGTATAGGTAATGTAAAAACTGTTTTTAGCGAAACTAAATCGCAGCAATCAGGAGCCAAAGGTAAAGAAAGTAATAAAGTAATTAGTGGGAATAAAGGAGCAAATATTCGTGACAGTCTTCTTGAGGCTCAGGTACAAACCAAGCGTTTCAGATTTGTGTTGTCATTTGGACAATACGGTAAGTCTGTTGGAATGCTTAACGGGCCCTGGGGGGTGGCAGTGAATGATCGTGATGAAATTGCCGTGACTGAGCTCTGGAACCATAGGGTTTCAGTGTACAGTAGTGATGGTATCCATTTAAGATCGTTTGGTGGGGAGGGTGAGGAAAATGGTGAGTTAAATCAACCTTCAGGGATCGCTTTTGATAGTCATGGCAATATTATAGTGGCAGACTGTAATAACGACAGGGTACAAGTCTTTGATAGAAATGGAAAGTTCCTTCGTAAGTTTGGCAAACATGGAACTCTTGATCACAAGCTTAAAAACCCTGAAGGTTTATCAATAAACGGCCAGAGTTATATTATTGTTAGTGATAGAGATAACAAATTAATCAAGATATTCTCTTCTAATGGGGAGTATTTAGGTAAATTTGGTGGAGCAGGTTCTTTGGTCAGTCCCTATCACTGTATCCAACACGGTCAATATTTGATAGTCTCAGACTGTGATGACCATTCCATTAAAATGTTTGATCTTGAGGGAAAGTTTATTTTTAAATTTGGAAAACAGGGAAACAAGGATGGAGAGTTCAATGAGCCCTCTTACTTGTCAGTTAACAAACAATGATTGCTACTGATCTGTGATTCAGAAAATCACAGAGTTCAGGTATTTGAACTGAGTGGAAAGTTTGTTGCGAAGTTTGGATGTAAAGGTAGCGAGAGAGGAGAGTTTAATTGTCCATTTTCTACAGCAAGTCTTAGTGATGGAAGGATAGCCGGTGAGTGATGTGAAAAACTATCGAATCCAGATATTTGACCAAATCTGATATGATCGTATCCTTAGAAATGCAATTACTTAAAAGTGTGATCTACTATTGATCTACAATTATTCATGTTTTCAGAAGAAAACCAGTTTTGATGAAGTTTAGTTTCATGATCCGTGTCTTTCTTGCATGATACAGTAAAAACCCGCGACTAAGAACCTGGTTTTTAAGTACATGTTAGGCTAAAATTTGACAGTTCAATAGGTCACCTTTATGCAAGAACCTGTTAACCCTAAAATTTGAAACAGGTTTTTTGGCTAAAATTTATAAACACAGATTCTGAACACTTGGGCAAATAAGTCAAGTCAACATTCAGGATCCTCTTTAGAGACGTAAGGTGCCTTATTACTCCAACCGCAATTGTAATGGTATTTACAGTCTTACCTAAGGACTGCTAAGGAACAAGCCGAATACCACTAAATATTAGCTATAACGTATTTTTAGTTTTTCTTCAGAAAATAACATCCTATTTAAGAACCTAAATAGCATAAATTTGTGCTAATTGCCATTTATGTAAGAACCTGTTTAGGCTAACTTGGGAAAATGCAGGTTCTCCGAGCAGGTTTTTATACCGTAGGATACATCTCTTGTTGTTGCTGTTTTCCCTTAGCTAGCCTTACTCATATTATTATGTATTAACTTAACTCAGGGAAATTGCGGGTCAGTGGCCCGTTTCTCCAAAGTCCCGAGAATGTTTCGGGCCTTAAAAGCTGTTTTTATGTTGGCATTTAAGATCAAAGTGTCAATAACTTTGAAAATGATACAATAGAAGTATCAGTTAACAAAGAAAAATTGACCGGTTTGTGAGCTCGGACTGAACTGTGCTGCTATAAATTCAACAGGTTTAGATTTCAAAATTTTATTGGACCCAAAAAGTTACCGGGCCTTTCGAGAAACGGGCCGCAGGAGTGTTCAATTGGTAGATATATTTAACAGGAGGATTTTCATTTTTAATACATTTTAACTTGTTCAATAGCAAAACCAGCCAGTGGTTCACATTTTTGTACTAAACTGCTCACTGACAGAAGTAGTCCAATTTCAGGCTTTTTTGCTTACTTTTCTGGTGACATTAAAAGGTAGAAAAGAGCACAAAGTTTCCCCAATACGTGTTACTGTATATCATATTTTCATCTACTTTTTAAACAATGGACCAGTGTATTTGTTTTTGTAGTTTCTTGTATAATTCGTGCCAATATGTAGAACAATAGAGTGAGAGCAATCGTTTAATTTTCTCCAGAGAATCACTAGGGTGCAAGCGACGAGTTACAAGTCATGAGACGCGAGAATCGAGTCACATCAGTCTTCTCGGCCAATGTTTTCGCTTCTTGCCTGAGGCTCGTGTGTTACAAGTACATGCCATCTCCTTAACTTTTGACTGAAAGTTAGAAATTGTCGGCAATTTAATACATGACAAATGATTTTTAAAAAGTGTAGATTCTGAATGTTGCGAGTTAGTGTGAAAATTATAAGCCACCACCGCCATTGTCAAATGATATTTACCAAGAACTATTTAAAAAATACTTTGCATTTATCGTACTGTGATGGCTATTATGCTATAAATGTGAACATGTAAGCTTCATGATGCAAAACATCTAAATTTGTAATAAACTTCAATTCACATTTAAAAATTTGCTTGGTTTGTGTCACTAATAAATTTTTACAACAGTGTCTTACCTACCCTTACGTTCTTTTACGATATTTTAGAACGAAAAAACGTCTTTCTAGGCTATAAAAACAAGAAGTTCAAAAAGACAAAAAAATTAACATTTTTCCAAAGGGGTTAACCCATGGTTTTGGTCCAAAAATGGCGATTTTTCCAAAATTTTTTTGTTAGGCAATAAAGGCCAGGAAAATGCTTTTTACGATATTCAAGAAAAAAACAACGCCTTTCTAGGCTATAAAAACAAGAACTTCACAAGTCGAAAAATACACATTTTTCCAAACGGGTTAACCCATCGTTTTGGTCCAAAAATGGCCATTTTTGCAAGTTTTTCTTTTTAGGCCATATAGGCCAGAAAAATGTCTTTTGTGATATTCTAGAACTAAAAAACGCCTTTCTAGACTATAAAAAAACAAGTTCAAAAAGTCGAAAAAATTGACATCTTTCGAAACGGGTTTATCCCATTGTTTTGGTCAAAAAATGGTCTTTTTTCCAAATTTTCTTTTTTAGGCAATATAGGCAACGAAACGTTGTTTTACGATTTTCTACAGCTAAAAAATGTCTTTCTAGGCTATAAAAACAAGAAGTTCAAAAAGCCGAAAAATTGACATTTTTCCAAAACGTTTAATCCATGGTTTTGGCGAAAAATGGCCATTTTTCCAACTTCTTTTTTTAGGCAAAATAGGCCAGGAAAATGTCTTTTACGATACTGTAGAACGAAAAAATGCCTTTCTATGCTATAAAAACAACAAGTTTAAAAAGTCGAAAAATTGACATTTTTCCAAAGGGGTTAACCCATTATTTTGGTCAAAAAATGGCCATTTTTCCAACTTTTTTTTTAGGCAATATAGGCCAGGAAAAGGTCTTTTACAATATTCAAGAACGAAAAAACGCCTTTCTAGGCTACAAAAACAAGACCTTCAAAAAGTCGAAAAATTGACATTTCTCCAAACGGGTCAACCCAGGGTTTTGGTCCATAAAATGGCATTATTCCGCCTTTTTTTTTAGGCAATATAGGCCAGGAAAATGTCTTTTACGACATTTTTCTAAAGAGGTTAACCCATGGTTTTGGTCCAAAAATGGCCATTTATCCAACTTTTTTTTTTAGGCAATATACGTCAGGAAAATATCTTTTACGATATTCGAAAACGAAAAAACGCCTTTCTAGGCTATAACAACAAGAAGTTCAAAAAGTCGAAAAATTAACCCATCGTTTTGGTCCAAAAATGGCCATTTTTCCAAACTCTTTTTTTAGCCATTGTAGGCAAGGAAAATGTCTTTCGCCATATTCTAGAACAAAAAAAAGCTTTTCTAGGCTATAAAAACAAGAAGTTAAAAAAGTCGAAAAATTGACATTTTTCCAAAGGGGTTAACCCATGGTTTTAGTCCAAAAAAGGCAATTTATCCAAACTTTTTTTTTTAGGCAATATAGGCCAGAAAAATGTCTTTTACAATATTATACAACGAAAAATCTCCTTTCTAGGCTATAAAAACAAGAAGTTAAAAAAGTCGAAAAATAGAAATTTTTCAAAAGGGGTTAACCCATGGTTTTGGTCCAAAAATAACCATTATTCCTACCTGTTTTTTTACACAATATAGGCAAGAAAAATGTCTTTTACGATATTTTACAACGAAACACTCCTTTCTAGGCTATAAAATGTCTTCTACGATATTCTAGAACGAAAAGACGACTTTCTAGGCTATAAAAACAAAAAGTTGAAAAAGTCGAAAAATTGACATTTTTCCAAAGGGGTTAACCTATTGTTTAGGTCCAAAAATGGCCATTTTTCAAAACTTTTTTTTTACGCAATATAGGCCAGAAAAACATCTTTCACGATATTCTAGAACATAAAAAAGCCTTTCTAGGCTATAAAAACAAGAAGTTAAAAAAGTCGAACAAGTGATATTTTTCCAAAGGGGTTAACCCATGGTTTTGGACCAAAAATGGCTATTTTTCCAAACGTTTTTTTTTCGGCAATATAGGCAAGGAAAATGTCTTTAACGATATTCTAGAACAAAAAAAAGCCTTTCTAGGCTATAAAAAGAAGAAGTTCAAAAAGTCGAAAAATTGACATTTTTCCAAAGGGGTTAACCCATGGTTTTGGTCCAAAAATGGCCATTTTTCGAAACTTTTTTTTTAGGCAATATAGGCCAGGAAAATGTCTTTTACGATATTTTAGAACAAAAAAAGCCTTTCTAGGCTATAAAAACAAGAAGTTCAAAAAGTCGAAAAATTGACATTTTTCCAAAGGGGTTAACCCATCGTTTTGGTCCAAAAATGGCCATTTTTCCAAACTCTTTTTTTTAGGCACAATAGGCAAGGAAAATGTCTTTCACTATATTCTAGAACAAAAAAAAGCCTTTCTAGGCTATAAAAAGAAGAAGTTAAAAAAGTCGAAAATTGACATTTTTCCAAAGGGGTTAACCCATGGTTTTGGTCCAAAAATGGCCATTTTTCCAAACTTTTTTTGTTAGGCAATACAGGCCAGGAAAATATCTTTTACGATATTCTGGAACGAAAAAACGCTTTTCTAGGCTATAAAAGGCTATAAAAACAAGAAGTTCCAAAAATGGCCATTTTTCGAAACTTTTTTTGTTAGGCAATACAGGCCAGGAAAATGTCTTTTACGATATTCTTGAACCAAAAAAAGCCTTTCTAGGCTATAAAAACAAGAAGTTCAAAAAGTCGAAAAATTGACATTTTTCCAAAGGGGTTAACCCATGGTTTTGGTCCAAAAATAGCCATTTTTCCAAACTCTTTTTTTTAGGCAATATAGCCAAGGAAAATGTCTTTCACGATATTCTAGAACATAAAAAAGCCTTTCTAGGCTTTAAAAACAAGAAGTTCATAAAGTCGAAAAATTGATATTTTTCCAAAGGGGTTAACCCATGGTTTTGGACCAAAAATGGCTATTTTTCGAAACGTTTTTTTTTAGGCAATAGAGGCCAGGAAAATGTCTTTTACGATATTCTAGAACAAAAAAAGCCTTTCTAGGCTATAAAAACAAGATGTTCAAAACTTCGAAAAATTGACAGTTTTCTAAAGGGGTTAAACCATGGTTTTGGTCCAAAAATGGCCATTTTTCGAAAGTTTTTTTTTTAGGCAATATAGGCAAGGAAAATGTCTTTCACTATAATCTAGAA